CGGAGCTCGATGGGGGACCAAATTCCTTGTCAAACTCATGTTGATCAAGGGTCGTGGTCTTGAGGGATGGGGGGGATTGAGAAGCTCCACTCTCCCTATCATGACAGCTGGGAAAATCTCATGCATCCCTTGGCCATGGTTTATGTAGTGGAAATGGCTTTCCTGTGCTGTTTGGTCTGGAGACGACAACGGACATAGACCATTGCTTCTTGTGATCGAGCTACGGAAGGGGTCGGAATGAGAGAATGGAAAGCAAACGAAGCATGGCTGGGCCAGGCCCCCTCCCCACGCCATCCCCGGACCCCATATGACGTTAGGGTGGGCCAAGTCCCGAGCACCCTTCGCTTCTTCCAATAAATTGACAAGTGCAACCTCTGTGCGTGAGTAATCGGCTGTCTTGTCGTGGCTTTTGTGCCCTTGCCGACTCTGAAACCCTGAACCCAGTCCCGGTCAGGTTAGCGTAGGTCTCACTATCGGATGGAGGAAGTTTGCGGTGAGACTGGCGGCAAGTCCCGGTGAGGTTCACGATTGGCAGGCGAGGGAGGCGAACACTCTGTGACCGTTCCGGAACCATTTTGGTGAAGCATTGGTCATACGAAGTTGAAGTGTATCGCGTCGTAGCATCAGAGCTTCGCCAGGCCTGGCGACGAAGCATGCCCTAATAAAGCGGGGGGAATAAATAGATTGTTACCCCGAATCCAGTCAAAGCGTCGAGTCCTTTCTCTTGTCTAATTAGGTCTTGGCTTTCTTCCGAGTTCTTACGCTCGGCTTGAGCGTCGTCGTGGCTTCTTCTGACTTGGAGCTCGCAAAGATGGGAATCTAAATCAGGAACCATTCTCCTGGAAGATTGATGACTATTGGGTAACAATGCCAGACCATGATCATGATCAACGCACATTGCGCTGCTTAGGAGGCTGGGCGCCTCTGTCTGCCTCCGTAGTTCACCGAACCGAGGAACATAGGAGCTTGCCGGAGGTATTTGGAGCGGAAGAGCCTCTTCAGCCGGCGAATAGCCAGCTATCATACTGAAGCAGATAGACGGCCAAGATCGGAGATCCAATATTGCCCGATCCTCTCTTAATGCCGATCCTAGGGTGTTGGAGGTCGATATTGTCATGCCGCCTCCCATCGTGGGGAATATATTTATAACACCTTCATAGGATTGGATCTCAAGCTCCAGCTACATTGGTCAAGCACGGAAGAGATTCTCACATGGGTTTTCTGGGCTCTCAGTGGCTCTCCTAATTGCACAGAAGGCACATAGCCCACTTCGTCCTCTCCTCGCCAGGCATGAACAGGAAGGTCCAGAGCTCAGTCTGGCCTGGCGCGTCTCGAACTTGGTTAGGTGCAACGCTACAAGTGAGAAATTTACGCCGATGTCGTCACAGCATGGAAAGCACAAACTAAACTTGGGAGCCCCAGTTCTACCCCACGAGGGGTCCTCATAGGCGATCTAAAATGGGAAGGAAGTAGTGTACCTCTTTCCTTTGGAGAAATCCCCATTGTTTCACTCCTTCCAGCCTTCCCAAGGAGCACCTGATCTAAGTACAGCCAAGAAAGGAGAATATCTTCCGGCTGATGACAGACTCCAGCTCCGACATTGCCCTTCGTGCACTCCGGGGAAACCCCTGACCATTCGGACCGGACGTGAGGCGGCAAAATGCTTCACACGAAGTCCTCGGCAGGGTGCGTGTGACAAACGTAAACGGCATCCCTTTCGCTGTCATGCAATAATACTGTAGCTTGAAAGTACCATGATCTCATTGAGCTCCGAGTAATACATCAATGATTGTCAACGACGTGATCGGGGCGAAGTGGCCTCCAGATCCGTGTGTGCTCTGCCATCCCGTCCGTCTAGACCTATGGACTTAGAAAAGTACCGCGGGCGCCATTGGCTGGTGATGAACTTCCAAAGCGGCACCTTCCCTCTCGGTGAGAGAAATAGAGCAACACCAAAAGAGGAACTCGATACTGTCATACACTCGGGTACGGAGTACGAAGCAAGTGGAATGGTGTTCTCCAGAATACGAAGGTACTTGCGCGGGGCTACAAGTACACTAGGGTGTGGTGTCCATGTGCTTCGAGGAAATTTTCAGTCGGTGACTTCGATCCAGCTGGCGCCGATATGGTTGAGAAGGTAGATTAGGCTCCGCAACATTCATTTGCTCAGATGTTGCCGGTTCCGGCTCCCGAAAGTTGCTAGCAGTGTGTTGCGAAAACTACATCTGTCAATATTTGCGCACAAGGAAAGTGGTTGATGGAGGAATTGATAGCCTCTACTTTTTACGAATTATACCCTCGTCCAGCATCATCTGCACGTTTATACAGGCCGGCAGGGTATTGAGGGAAGGACGAGCGAAGCTTACTGGTGAAGATGATTTGTTGATGGAGAGTGTTGCTGGGATGGAGGAAGGCACACATGGTCCTGTTGAGCAGTAGCCCAGTAGTGTACACATGTACCCGGAATAGTGCTGGAGGGTACTTCGAACACTTGCAATCACCCTCGCTGTCATTGGTCTTTACAAACTGCCCAAGCTTCCCACGAAGTATTCTCGGCATGGAACCTCACCTGCTGTTCAGTCGGTGGGCATCCCTGTCCCACCCCGCCCCCGCCCCATCAGCCCCTCGCTTTCCAATTATCGCGACGCAATCGGCGGCTAAGGGAAAGCGAGGGACGGCGTTCTTTCACAGGAATGCTGTACAGGTACGAGAAACCTCCCTACAGTTATTCTGGTACGTAATGTCCAGTCTACTCGGACTTCACCGGTACACCTTATTTTGATCTTTTTCTTTTGTTCCCCCCTCCGCTCCTGCTGTTTACATCGCCGCTCCCGATATTCCCCACAGACTCAACTGGTGAAGGAAACTTGGGCCTTGCCAAAGTCTACCTCATCCTTGGAAACACGACGGCGAGTACTTTGTAAACTACTTCGTACATTCGATCAAATGCAATTGTCCAATTGTACCATTGACTTTGACCTTGACCCATTTCCCTCCCCCACATCCTCCAATTCGATGCGCAACAATTTGAATTGATCCCTTGCTCTCTCAACTTTCATCACGACCCGCACACCACTACCTGACCTAGGCTCCTTTGACCCCCCAACCCGCCCATACCTCACGCCCTACCCTGCTTGCCTTTAGTCGTCCTTGCGTCCTGCCGCCGGGAACTCACCAGTTCCACCCGTCTTTCCGTTGCTATTTCTATTTTATCCAGGGATCTCCAGCCGGTCTGCCTTTGGCCTGAACATACGACTTGCTCTTTTCTGCTGTGGCTCTCGTTTCCATTGACTTTAGCACTTATCACCTTATTTTTCATTAAACTCTCCCACTGCCGTCTACTACCTGCCTCTTACGCGGGTTGGCCTGGCTAGGCCTATACTACTATAACTGTGTACGAAGTACGCGCCTCTGCTCCGCTCAGCAGTGGACACTAACACAGTCCGTGCTGGTCTTGGCTCTGGGGTTCCATCCGTTTTCCTTGACACCCACGAGACCTGGATCAAAATCTCGCGCATCGCTGTGTTAGGTTTGGCTCCGGGTCTAGTTTGCAGGGACCTTCTCTGTCTCCCGCCCCTGGCATTGGCATTGGCGCTGGCGTTAGCACTGGGTTGGCATGGGCATTGGCATACTTCATAGGTGGGCACTAGCATCATTCGAACGACAACCACCCCCCCTTGCCGGCAACTCCTCTTCTCTCCGCCACTCTGCCGCCCTCTTCGACGGTTGTCAGCATCGTCGACTTCCCTCCGGTCAACGGTGACCTGGCCGGTGCACGCGATATCCCCCTCCCCAATTATTACACTAGTTAGCTCAGAGGCTCATTGCCCCGGGCATCGGGGTCTAGGCCCACCCCACCCACCATTGACCTTGAAAATTCGATCTGACGTACGAAATACCCTTCCCTTCCCTGCCTCGGTCTCGGTCGAACGAAGTTGAGGTGAAGAAGTACCGCTTGTGCTCCCACCTTGACCCTCACACCTCTCGGCATAAAACATCCCCATAAAAAAGCACCAAGGCGCGAAGAGGAGCAACTCGCTAGAGAGGCGTTGGAGCGAGAGTGGGAACAGGAAAATCAGAAGCAGAATAAGAAAAAAGAGAGGGAAAAAAAAAAAAAAGGGAAAAACAAAAAGAGGGGAGAAATAAAGCCACATTGAACCTTGTATCAATTACACGTTCATCCCAAATCCCCTCCCAAGAAGCCAGAGGCGGTCGGTCCTCTGCAAGGAGAGCAGCACCAGCAGCCAGCAGCTCAGAGTAGCTTTATGCTTGAAACTCATCCCGCCCCGGTTGTCTCCCTCGCTGCTCTATTTTTATAGTTCCAGCATACTTCATCGCTCCGACACCCCGTCACTCATTGCCAGCTCGACCCGTGTGTTCTCGGCCCAAACTCGCCTTGTAGCACGTACAAAAGAGCAACATCAATTGAAACCTTAGCTTGGGCAGAACAGACGCCTCCGTGCGGTTCTCGGTCAATCTCATCCGCCCACCCATCTACGCTCACACCGGTACTTGGATGTGCCACACTTTTCCCAGAATCTTCACTTCCTTTTCGGCCCCGTCAACCGAGAATTCGCGTCATCCGCCCGGGATAATCTGATAATAGAGCGCGCCTATTTCTGGCGCATTGGCTCTTTAACCTCTGTGCACACCCCCGCCCCCACCATAGCCGTTAGGTTTTTTTTTTTGCTCTTTTTTTTTTTTCTTGGATAATCTTCCCTCCCACACCTTCACCTCCAGCGTCGATCTTCCTTTTACTTCTCCCTGTCACTCTACCCTCTGGTGCTTGGGAAGGGGTCCCCATCCGCCTTCTTTTCTCCTCCTCCCTCCTACCCCTTCCGGCCCCTTCGCGTTTGCGGCGCGAACCGATTCCACCTCGCTTCAAACGACCTTCTTTCGCGCCGCCTAGTTCCGCAACTCGGCCGCCTCCTCCTTCCTCCCCTCGACGTGCCGCTGCTTTATAATGTGCTGTGGAGAGCTGTAGATAGTTGGAATCAAGCATGCACCCAGCTCCGAGCCTGGCCGAGGCGCCCCCGAAGACCGATGAATCGAGGTCCCCAGCCCCTCCGCCCGGGCACGGCGGTCCTCCAGGCGGCTCAACTCAGCAGCCACGGCCTCCGACCCCTACCCATAGCCAGTCGGTTTCGCCACCATTGAGAAAGGATACCGCTTCCTCTATCTCCACCCAGGCCTCCGGGACCTCCACGGCGCCCGGGACTGCCCGTCTGTCGGTCGAGGGTGCCAACAGCAACACATCGTATAGTGCCGAAACTTCCCCCACTCCGCACCAGTCCATTTTCTCTGTCAAGGATGGCTCCGACCTCTCTAACAACCGTCGCGCCAGCAGGAGGCGGACTGGTCCCTTGTCCCAGCAACAAAGAGAGAAGGCCGCTCTCATCAGAAAGCTAGGCGCCTGCTCTGAGTGCCGAAGACGTCGTGTCGCAGTAAGTGTTGTACCCCGTGCATGACTTGTTTACATAAACCCCAAATTCCACTTCGCCGTTCTTCGTTCTTCTTTTCCTTTATCCGGCGCAAGCGCAATGCTGCCTATAAGCCGCCGCACCAACGGCCGGTTTGTGGTTCAAGGAGCTCGCTAACATCGTACCTCTTGCTGTGGTCGTTCTGAGTTATAGTGCCACCCAAGTCACCATAATATGACCTGGGAGGATGCCGTGAAGAAATATCAGAAATATCACCGGTCGCTAAGCCCGAATATTCCAGACATTGCGCCTTTAACAGGCGCTAGGCCGATCAGCCCAGCACCGACGACAAACCACAGCCCTTTAAATCACAACAACCATGTCAACGCTGTCTTCAGGAGAGACTCCTCAGATGCTATGGATATTGACTCTGGGCCCGCACAAAGCCCTACCCAATCACCTCCGCAGAGCGAGTCACGGCTTCGCACGCCTCTCCCATCCGGAAAACCCCCCGCAGTGCCGGGCATCGACAGCCTCCGAGCTGTCCTCGAAAGCCACGCTTCGCGAATCTTTTCAACCCCCCACCGGGGGCGCTATTCAGCGGCACAAGCGCTCCTTCTCTACTGGCAAGATGACGATGACGAAGTGCTGAGTGCGACTGTGCAGGACCTGGCCGATGTCTTCGACAAGCAGTACAGGTATACGTTTCAAAAACAGAAGATCCCGTCGCCTTCGGATGAGTGTAGGAATCCGCTGCGTTGGCTCCTGCAGCAGATAACCGCCTTCGCGGATGACCGGGATCAACGCGATGTCCTAAAAATTCTCTACTACAATGGGCACACCTATCTCGACCGGAATAAAGAGATGGTACTTGCAAGGTAAGATACGCAATACATATTCCCTTCGCAGAAGGATCATGCGAGTGATCCGAATCTAGCCGTTCTATTTTGTTGTGTCGCATGGGACTAACTGGGTGATATATGTAGTTCCCGTGACAGGGAAAAGGCGTCAACCATACGGTGGAGCGGTATCCAGCAGATCTTGGAAGAGGCCTGCTCAGACACGCTCATCATCATGGACGCAGCGTATTATCCTTCGCCAAACGTCGAGAGGAAGCAGGGCGTCTTGGAGCTGATCGCCGCCGCTTCATCCGAAGAGCATTTCCAGTTGCTCGATCGGTGCGCATTCACCAGAGCCCTAACAGAAGAGCTTCGAAATAAGGCCAGGGGGCCCAACCATAACTCGTTAACGGCAGCCCACCTGCATGCCAAGCTTTTATCCATGTATCCAAAGATGATCCAGGACCAGAATCCCGAACGTGAATGGATATCGAGCATTCCTGCTCCTCTCCACTTACAGATTACGGGCAATCCCAGACTTCCTTCTATCCAACTGTGCCGTCTCCACAGGACTAGCCTACCATTCGCGGCGGACCACATGGGCCCCCAGATTCATCTGTCGATGCGGCTGAAGGATGATTTCTTCGACATCGAGAACTGGGCAGAGTGGTTACGTGTGATGCCTGATGGTGTCCGGGATGTCAAGGTCGAGGGCCAGCTCCCGTTGCTCAAATAGAGACCAGTAGGGTTCTATTGTCCGTGTCAGCTACCTATTATTTTTCCTTCCCCCCCCCCCCCCCCCCCCCCTCTTTTTTTTTTTTTTCGTTTTGTCGTCGGAGTCGAGGACCAAGTGTTATACCTACGATGCCCAGAACATAGACGACGAATACTCAAAACGGAGCACTTGGGGGTCTGGTGGCCGATTCGATTTCCTTATGTAGTCGCATCTTGGGGTGAAGAGCGTTGATGGTTTGAAGGGGACGATGTTTGCTGCTGTCTGGCTTACACAACCCCCGAGTATATGAGATGAGTCCATGACTGAGACGAAAAAAAATATTTAACTCTCTCTTCTCAATTTTCATAGCTGTTATATACTTGCCATTCTTGTACACATCGGGGACGCATCAGGTTCTTTGTCTATTTCATATTCTGTGTGTGACACTCCCCTCGTTTCCTTTGGTTTCATCAGAGTTTGCCCAATTCGTTCCGTCTTCTCTTTTGATTGAATACATGTGTTACGGTTCGCAGAGGGCACAGCATTTCAGAAATGGCAGTTCCTGAGAGATTGATATTGGAGTTTTTGAGTGATAGCATATGTTAGGCGTGGAGGTAATGAGACTGGCATCCTATAGTACAAGCATGAATGAATACCAAATAAAATGATCACTTTTATGGCACTAGAGATATTCTTTGTCGCCTGGCTGCTTCTGGTCTTGATATGATCCGGAGCTGCCAGGTGTGGGGGCCGGTCTTTGATATACGGTATTGCACTTACCGATATTGGTCGCTTTGTCGCCGTCTCGTCAGACGCCGGACCAGGGCGCCTTGAAGAAGAAGGCGAGACTTGAAGCATGGAGCTTGGCAGTACCGTGAGTCGTACGAAAAGCCGCACCTTCTTTCTTATTACCGACGATGTCAATGTATTGTCTACATCTATGAAGGGGACAAACTACCAAGTCCTGTGCTCCTGCCTCTCTATCAATTCTGGGCAATGCAATACAAGTTACACGTTTGCACGTTGATAAGCTGACTGACGCCTCCGTTGATATCGAGATGAAGATATTGCACTGAAACCTTAGGCATAATCCATTTTCCCGACATATACTACCGTCTTCAGGTTTGCCTGCCGGCAATGATCTCAAGACGTGGTGTGATCCCAAAGGTCCATGCCGTTCGACGTTGGCACTTTTACTCTCATTCATCTACCCTAGATCTGATTAAAAAGTATTTGTGAAATCTTGATACAAGGCAGAGAGCCTTTCCTCTGGATACACAGGAATGCCTACCACTATTCCCAAACAGGTATGTCCAAAAACATAAAGACAATGCGCTCGCGAAATACCAAACCGCAACCTTCAAATGCTGTCCAAATTAGCCCCTACCCAAATTCTATTGGAAATCCAGAAACAAAGTGGGAAAAAAAAATGCTATGAGAAGTAAGAGTTGCAGTGCAGATGCATCATTAGAAGCGAAAAAGAAAACTTGGACTCTCATCCACAACCGGCCGCGGAGCTTACGACCGGAAAACAAGCCAAGTAGTAGCGGCCACGACGAGCCACAGAGACGCGGACGCACCAGTCCTCACACCCAACGATTCAGTGGTGCCCGCGTTGAGCAGGAGACTGGGCTCATAAGTGGACACTTGGGTGGTATTAAGACTTCCGTTCCAGCAGTAGCGGCTAAAGCAGTCTTTACAGGCCTGCGGTGGTTCGGTGCCTGTGCGGTCGAAACTGCGGCTGAGAGTGGCGCAGGCGACGCAAGTCGGCCACTGGCTGTCCAAAGTTCCGTTTCCTCGAGTGGCGACGTTGAAGCCGTTCTGGACAATGGCATTACGTTCCTCGATCGTGTACGTGGGGTCGAAGGTGGAGACGTTGGAGAAGGTGGAGAGGGGGGCGTTGGGGATGTACACGATCAAGGGTGGGACGGTCGACCCAGATGAGAAGTTGGCGACGGAGCAGCCGAAGAACGTGGGTTGCTGATTGAGCTTCAGATTGATGAAGGTGTTATCGTCAGGGACGGCGGGGAATTGCGTGCCGTTCGCGATGGGATCCATGGAGCGTTCGTAAGTAGCGCGGAGGGCAGTGCCGTTGGGCCAGCTGTAGGTCGTATCGGCGCTTGAGTCGATGGCGAAGACAACGTCGACGTTGCGGAGAGGCTGGATGACGGGTTGAAGGGGGATGTTCTGGAGATCCTCGCCGCCGTCGACAAGGCTGAGTTCCTCCGAGGTGCCGATGGAGCTGAGCTGGGTGTTGTACCCCTTGAAGGGATTGGGCACATACTGCGCGATGTCATTGTTCTTTTCGTCCAGCCTTGTGAAGAACGACTTAATAGTGTTGGCGATGTTCTCCGGGACGGTGTCCGGGAATGTAGTAAGCAAGGCCATGTTGAAGAGGGATGACGATGTGCCCATGACGAAGCCGAACTGGTCGAAGCCCCGGACGCAGTGCCCGGTGCTATTGATCGAGCCACCGTTGAAATCGCTTCCAATGTACCTCAGGGGCGCGAAGGCGGATAGGGTCGGATCCCACGAGCCTAGCTCGAAAGCACTGAACTCGAAAACGGTCGAGTTGAGGTTGACGATCTTGGTATTCGGCGCACGGCCGTCGGCAACGAGAATGGGGAACGGGGTGTCTCCATTCTTGAAGTCTTCCGAGTCGGAGATGGACGAGAAGGTGTAAGCAACACCTCCCTCCTCGCCGCGGAGCAGCTGGTAACTGAGAGCGCGACCCCAAAAGTCTGTGATGGAAGTTTCGAATCCAGCTTTATCCTTGGAAGAAACTTGGGACAGGATATCGCTCCAGTACCTGGCAGTGTCGAGGACTCCGATTAGCGCCGTGGATGGCGGTCCAGTGAGAATAGAGTCCTGGAACTGCCAAACATTCTTGTCGTTCTGCAGCGACGGAATCGTGGAGAAGTTGTTGCCGAAAATAGTGCCCACAAGCCAACCACCGCCCGACAAGCCCGCCAAATACGTGCTCGCCTGGAGGAGTCCAGAGATTCCTCCGTCTCCGCCCGTTCGCTCATCAGCAGCAGTGATGAAACCCGCACCGTTGAGAAGCGCACGATATCCGCCGCCAGACGCCGCAATCGCTACCCTCGGATAGGCGTTATCCTTCTGGAGATACGAAGCGTAATCGAAATTGGCGACATTCACACGCTTGAAGAAGTTGTTTAGCGCGATCTTAGTCTTCGGGTCTCGAGCTTTCAGCCAGTCCGTCTCCTGCGTCGAAAGAGATAACCCCTGGCGCACTACCGGGCGCGAGGACGGACAGTCGACGACCGCCGGCGCATAACCCCCTGATGGAGAGTCCGGCGCGGCGCGTGGGAGGTGAAGGTGATCATCGTGAGGTTCGGTCTGGCCGGATGCGCCGGAAGATATGAGCCCGGCGCCGAGCGCGAGCACGGTGCTGAGCTTCATGCTGCGCGATGTTAAAGCTTGCCTAATCGAGCGATCACAAAGGAAATAAGAGGCTGCTAACCACCTCTTGCTTTTCGCTAAAGGTAAGAAATATAGCGAAAAGGGAAGGGAAAGTGAGGTTAAAAGCCGGATTCCAGAGCTTAAGATGTTTAACGTCCCTCCAGTGGAGCTAGGCTCGTGCTTGACGCCAAGTCTGAAACGTTCAATAAAAATTGAATGGGCATACGTCTCGTATTAATATAACATTGACAGATCCATTAAGGGAGGGATCCGAAGAAGGATTCCATTGAACCTTATGGGGATATCCTATTTTTTCCCCCGAACTAAAGGAACAAATGTCTGGAGCGTCCCAACATCCAACCGTCAGGATGAACTCGTCATCGTAACCCTTGGCAGGCAAAGACGCGTTGATCCTGTCTCGGACCTATACCGGGATAGGCAATCAGTTGGCCCACCTCAGGATTGCTAGGACGACCGAACCCTTGCAGCAGCTCAGCCAAGCTCCCGAACGGGTGCGTAGTGCCGGTATGGAAATTAGACGCTCACGAGCGGTTATACCACTTTTTGACAAGCTTACCGTCCTCGAAAACAGTCCAATGAAGCGCTGTAAAACGGACGAACAGCTGCAGTATTTTGGGGGGGGAGGGAGCATAGCCTTTTGGCATCAATTATGGGCTTCTTCCATATTGCTTACTGTGGGCTGTTCACCGCCAGCTCCAATCCACGCCTTCCTTCGTCTTAGACACTGGTACCGAGGTAACATATCAATGGGGTCGCATAGGGCTGGGAGAGTTCTTCGTTAGCTCCGGATCAGTGCTGCATGTAACCCGGAGGCGCTGGCGTCGGGCGCCGCAAGTGACCTCATCGGGAATTTGGACCCCCCGGTACCGAAAACCAGCTGAGCCCTCTTGCCTTTTGCCATGCGGCGGCTAGCGGCCCTTTTCTTGCGAATCGAGGGGCTCGGTTGGGGGTGAGAGCGCGGCAAGGATCCTACTTTGGACAAAGCTGACTGCAGGGACTTTTTGAATTCCCTTACGCATACTTGTAAGCCAGGAACGAAGAGCTTTGGCATTTTACTGGGGGTTTTGACGTGGCGTGGCAGAAAGGCCAAGCCCGACACTTCCGGGGACTGGGCTCAGAAACAAGTTGGATTTCGTATTCTAAAAACTCTCAAATGGCATTAAACGAGTTCTTCTTTCCACCCAACATGAGTGAGAAACCAAGGGCAGTTTGTACGAAGTAGGAGGGTAACCCATGGGCCGGGTACGACTTAAGACAGTCAGGATGAAGTGATCTGGTGCTATGTAGGTTCTCGCCCTTTTTAGGGATAGATTTCCCACGATACTTGGGCTTTGATTCCGGGTAGAGGCGGATCCGTTGACACACAGCACCACCTCCGCGGAACTGACGCTACCTGTTTTTATTCTACAAAGTATGTATTGGGGCTAGATTATGATTATAAATCCTGTAGTTGAAGAACCCAAGGTGTCTCAACCTCGTGCATGCTTTTTGTCATTTTCCTTTTCTCTCTTTTCCTCCTGGACGAGCGGAAAGGCTTTTGAGGGTTCGGTGGCTTGGCTTCGAACTTTAACAATGGGATGGGCAGGGATGGGAGTTGCAGGGTCTGCGGGGCAGACATGTTTAACACTGGTTTCGCCCGGAATGTGACCAAAGGGAAGCGGGACGAAACGGGATGGCATGAGGACGACTCCAGTTCTCAGTAAGACCCTGACATGATCCAAGTCATCGTGGATCATTACTGCGAGATGCGAAGAATGAAAAAAAAAAAGAAAAAGTAAAAAAGTAAAAAGAGAAAAAAAAAAGTAAAAGAGAAAAAAATATGAGAGAAGCGAAAAAATGAAGTTGCTTCCACACGGATTCGAACCATGGATCTTCGCATACCTGAGAACTTACAAGTGCGACGCCTTACCGCTTGGCCATAGAAGCCGAATTTACGAAATCCCGGCTTAATCGCCAATACGTAAGTTTCTCCCCCGGAGTGAACAAGCTTGTTTTCGAATGTCCATCCGAACAAGATGAGCATGTTCCCAAAAGAAAACGAACAACAGAAAGAGGGACTAATGGATAAATAAAAGACCCCAAAAAGTCCTGTCTTTATATCTAGCTGTGCGGTCATGGAATCTGACAAGAAACAATAGTTTACCTGGGGGGAAAAATACAGTGATTAACAGGGAGTGATTGCCATGCTTGTCTGGATAGCGCGGAAACCTCCACTGTTTGGGCGGGGGAGTGACCATTTATCACTACAGGCACAAGACAACAACCCGTTTGATCGGATCATTACTGCCTACGTCCTATAGCACGAAGAACCAAAGGCAATACAATTATATCAAGTCCGTCAAGCAGCCAGGCGCCAATCAATAATTTATTCGTGCTGTCCCTTGCTGTACCTTGATTGTAATCGGTGTCACAGTGAAGCAGCTGAGGAGGATATCTTCCAACTAGAACTCTCATCCACCACGGTTGCGCTGTTCAACCATAACAGTTGGCACTATGACATCCCACCACGGCCATCAATCGTCCTTTGAGGGCATCATTCATTTTTCCTCGAGGCTGCCGCTGGAAGAAAACAAGCGTGCTCGAGCGAAACGCAAGTTCTATCACATCATCAACCACTTTGAAGCTACGAGTACGAAGGGGAGCATCAACCCAAGTGACGAGTACAACCGCCCGAAGCTCATCCGCCTCATTTACGAATATGCACGCTCGGCGGAATCTCAAGATATTTTTCTGCAGGCCTTTGCGCAGGCACTAGAGCTTTCCATGGACCATGAAGATGATGTAGATTTTGGCAGTGGCCAACTAGAGGAGCCCCTTGGCTCGGCTTTGTACCGTTTTGCAGACCATCTCTTCGACCACTTCTTCTTACCCTGTAGGGCTAGAGAAATTTCTCCTCTTCTTGGCTGTCATCTTCCTCTGTTCGCCTCTGCTGACATTCTCCTAGTACGAGCTTCTACCAAGAAGACGCCTCAGCCTTCCCCGGCGTACCATTCTGCAATACAGCAAGCGCAAGGAGGAGGGGTCCAAGACTTTGTCGGAACGCCAGGCCGGTTGTCAGAGCTTCGGGGTGACTGCCTCATCCGCGGCCGCAATCGTTGCGTAATCAGCCGCCGCTTTGACGTAACGGAAGCAACAAGGCGTATTAGAAGGAACCGCGACGATGCGGCAGATGATGATGGGAATAAGCTTGGAGACGAATCCCACTTCGAGGATCTAGAAGTGGCTCATATCCTTCCCCATGCACTTACAAGGTGGAACAGGGCTCCGAACTGGTTGGTCTCTGATATTTCACGGCGACAAGGGATCATCTTGACTGACATCTTGGTTAGCATCCTTTGAAAAAAGCCGCGCTCGGTATCCTCAATATGTTCGACAATGGTGTAATCCACTTAATTGAAGGTGACGATATCGACCGGCCGCGGAACGCTCTCACGCTGACCCATAATCTCCACCTCCTTTTTGGTAACTTTGAGGTTTTCTTCCAGCCTTTATCCGACGCAGAGCCACACACCTACCAAATCCACTCCTTTCTCCCTCCTCCTATCGTCCGAGGTCTACTTCCCGTCACGCGCACGCTCTTCCTCACCGAGAACCGGACCATTGAACCCCCTTCGCGGCGACTTCTCGAACTCCACTGTGCTATCGCTCACATCCTTCACCTTTCTGCTGCTGGAGCTTATATTGATAAGCTGCTAGATATATGGAGAAGAAGGGCATATCGGCAGATGGGTCGACCGAATTGGGTCGCCTTGTGACCCTTGGATTGGGCGGGTGGTTGGATGGAAGTGTCTACGCCTAGGGAAGTGTTCCCTATCGATACCCTTCAGGCGGACATCGGACGGTTCTGCGAATGGTTTGCCCGCCTTAAATGAGGCTGCCTACTCCGTGCAATTCCTACTGCTCCTATTGCTGCGCGGGCTCAGCAGCACGTTCCCGAGTCCGGCGGCATTAACCGGACTCTTTCGTTATCGCGGCGGGGCTAGATGATCCTGGTGTCAACGCGGATGTCAAACGCACCCTTGAAGGCGTGCGAGACTATTGTTAACGTATGCGTATCTTGGTACATGCGCGACCGCGACGTACTCCCGCAGCTTTACGTCCAGCCAATCTTCTACTACTTGAGCCATCGCCAATCAACCTCCCCGCAGGCATTCCGTCAGTTGCCACTATGCCCATAGTATTCGGCCCCAGTCGCGCAGCTTTCGCGATTGCGCCAACCCGAAAGAAATATACTCCGTCGCTTGCAGGAAGATTAATGCCACTGGACTGGTGGGACCGGCCCAATAGTAGAGGGTGTCAGCAGGCTAGCCACACACCGCAGCTGGTGTCGGCTCGCCCCATGCCTCGCAGGATAGGTTATTGACATCTTTTGATGTCAGAAAAGCTGATATGCGCCCCAAGGCCGATCTTGTTCATCGGTTTACTCTGGGAAGTCTGGAGATTTGTGATTCCCTATGGTCAAAATAGCCTCCTCTCTGAGCGCCGACTGGAAGCTCCGAAGGTTGGTGGCTACCTTCGCCACTCGATTTCCATAGGAGCTGTGCCTGTTCACACCATCGAAAATGATCTAAAAAACCATCTTTCGCGTATGCTTTGTCACGGGCCTCACATGTCCATTTCACTCCTCTAGAGCCAATGATCTATTTTTCGAGCGCGAGTTGACACCCGGCGCACGACATTCCGCGTTCGACTTTGTTGGCTTGTCTATCATAATAACGAAGCGCACACGATCCTATAAAGCGGAATTTTTGACCGTTCACGTCCTGTGATTGTTGTGGTACCGTATGCTCCTGCTGTCCGGAAACCAACATGGCTTGGTAACTAGAAACAACTGTAATGCGGGATTTGTATTCGGATTCCTCCATCGTATAGATCCCAGGTAAAGTCTTGAATGACTTCAGCTGGTTTAATTCGGCTTTAGCCAGCTGGAATTTCTTCCGGATAGAGGAAAGAGATTTCACTTCCGTTTCCGGGGCGCCTTGGAGGCATTTGAAACAGCACCGAGTCCATGTCAGGAGTGAGATGAATCCGGCGAATTCGCCGCAAAGGCTACAAGCCTTGGTGCATAGTGCAGAGTAAAAGTCGAATAGGGAAACAACGGTGGCAAGCCGTGTTCGTAACAGCGCGCAGAAAAGGTTCAGCGCGTGCGCGACTACCATCTGATATGGCTTCAGAGAATCTACTGTCTGTCTCGATGCGAGATTCGTTTGTCGAAAATTGAATAGAGATTGCATGTCCATACATAATAGTACGCCATGCAAGAGCTCGGGGGGGTAGTCGATCGAGGGAGCCGAGCCCTGTATTTGACGGTCGCGGGAAAGGTGTTGCTATTGACGGACGGACCCTGATGTGCTCGCGAGGCGAGAACCATATCACAGAGAGACAATGGTCTCTACGGTGGTAGGCAGCGATTCGAACAATGGCGTCGGCCTGGTCCTCTCGGAAATGATATTCGGAGGTGGAGCGATATCCGTGAGGCAGAAGGGGAGCCATTGTGGATGGTTTTTGGTATGCTTGAGTGAAAGAGATGTTGGCCTTAATCGGCGTGGGTAGGTTGATGATGATCCGGATTGCGGGACACTCATGTTTAGACGTAGCCCGTCACACCATCCATATGGTATAATCTGCTATTTTTGCGGAACTTGGCTCGGAATGATAATAATAACGGCTGCTCCGACGATAGATGGCTGTCAAGGCTAGTGAAAGACTGGGTAGAAACGAGTATTGGAGTGAAGGGTATGAGAAAAGATTGTAGTCGGAGGGAGAGTGCAGTGTTGGGCTGATCAATCGATGTTGCGCACACACTTGGGACAGGCCGGGGGGGCATCCCCCAGCATCACAATTTCATCCAAATCACTCTTCCTTCCTCCCTCCATCAAGCTAGCTCTCTACCCCGGACAGATATGAAATATCTTGTCAATTTAATAAAAAACTCATTGCGACGGTCCCCTTTAACACCGCTGCAGTTTCCAACCACAGGATTTTCCGTCGTGAAGGATTCGGTCATCGTTGAGGAAGAGCAATTTGATGAATTCAAGGCTGGACAATACTACCCGGTAAACACTGGTGATGTTTACGCTTCCAAATACCAGGTCCTGGGTAAACTGGGCTTTGGGACGACGTCTACCGTGTGGCTCGCCTGTAATCTTCAGTTAGGTCAACCAAGTTGAGATCAAAGATGAGCCATGAAGCTGACGCCTTTAGGGAACATAAATACGTGGCATTGAACGTTTTTAGACGGGGAGTGGGCCAGGATGAGATAGAGCTATGCGCGCATCTCGCTAAGGCCAACCCTTCGCATCCAGGCTACCGACATGTCCGGACTGCTCTGGACACATTCAAGCTTGAACGTGACGAAGGGCAACACTACTGTCTTGTGCAGAAGCCAATGTGGGATAGCTGGAAAGACATGCTCCTACGGAACCCCGCACATCGATTTACGGAGGACCTCTTGAAAGCAGGTTTAGCCCAGCTGTTTCTTGCTCTCGATTATCTGCCTACAGAATGCCGCCTCGTTCACACAGGTAGATAACTTAGTCCACATTCGTTTCCTACAAGCTCTGACTATTTTACAAGACCTCAAGGACGACAACATCTTGCAAGAACTGGTCGATCGGTCAGTACTAGCAGCTTTTACGAAAGATGAACTTGAGACCCCGTCGCCCAGGAAGATTGTGGATGATACTACTATCTATGTCTCAAGGCGGTTCGATTTGCCTGACGACTTTGGCGATGTCGTTCTCAGTGACTTTGGGGCTGCCGTTCGAGGGGATGTGAAGAGAAACCACGACGCGCAACCGAATGTGTACAGGTCACCCGAGGTTATGTTGATGACCGAGTGGAGCTATCCCGTGGATATATGGAACGTGGGCGTCATGGTATATCTCAACTTGCAAGTTCCTATTGTCGAGGATGATGGCTTTTATTAACTACTTTGTGAAAAGATTTGGGACCTTTTTGAGGGCAGACACCTATTCTACGGGGACGACCCCAAGAAGAACAAATACACCACCCGAGCCCATCTCGCCGAGTTAGTTGGCATGCTAGGGCCTCCGCCTCTCGATCTTCTTCACAGGGGGAGGCGGAGCATGGAGTTCTTTACTGAAGATGGTAACATTGATTCCTGCTCCAAAGACGCCCACAACCTCGATGCCGGACCTACAAATGCTAATTCTCACTTAAATTAGGAGAATGGAAGGGCGATGTCGACGTGCCTTCTGACGCGAGCTTGGAGAATTCGGTAACGCGCTTCGAAGGCGAGAAGAAGGAGAAATTTCTAACATTCGTAAGGGGAATGCTTCAATGGCGGCCGGAGGATAGGAAGACGGGCGCGCAGCTTCTCAATGATCCATGGCTTCGGAGCTAGTGAATGCGCTCTCTCCTGTCGTATGGCACCCTCTGCTGATTCTCAAAAACACGTCGAGTGTTATGCCTCTCGCTCCTGGAGACCTGCATCGACTTGGTCGAAATCTTGGCCAAGTCTTCTGGCAGAATACTTCCAGGTCTTGAGAAGAACCTTAATACTTCGTAATAACTGCGAAATGGTTCAGCATCGTTCCCAGATCGTACTCTAGGAATTTGAAGGATAAGAGTGCAATGTTATTCCCATGCACTAATAAATCAATCGATCAATTTTATGAAGCACACTGTAAGGACAGGTATTTCTGACGTCGAAATGAATGCCCACTACGCCGAGGTATAGCCGAGATGCTTGGCAATACTTCGTACGAAGTAATGTCCATTCAAATTGCCGTGCACTGTTAGAGTGGGTCTTTTTCTGTTGCCAGGCAACCGGCACACGCGACCACTCAAAGTAAACAAGGATTGGTGAAGCTTCTCTGTCTCATATCAACAGCGCCTGCAGCACCTCGACCAAGCTTGGACTCTTCACCTCGCCATCCGAGACTCCAACCTTTCAACGACAACAACCACTCCTACTAACCACAGCAGCAAGACGGCCCGAGGGTAAAACCTATTCTTTCCATCAATGGAATCAGTTTTATTCTAATCCACCAAGAACGATATTTCGACTCCCTTTTTACTTTCCGAGTCCCCATCACCTAGTCAAGCGTCCCCATCGATTCTGCCCGAGATGGATCCCCATTCACCTCCAAAGCGAATGACCCGCTCCCGAGCGGCTGCCAACGCTGTAGAGACGACGACAAGAACCACCAAAATCGTCACAGCGGCGGCCAAGGCGAAGGCCGCTGCCAGCACCGCCGGCAGCTCGACCACTACTACAACCAGAACTACATCGGCCAAGAGGAAAACGCGAGCTGATGACAATGATCACGAGGACGAAATTGAGGCTACTGCGGCCCCTGCCAAGACAGCTCGGCCTCGAGGCCGACCTAGGAAGGTCGAGGAGCCCGCAGTTGAAGTGAAAGCTCCTGCTTCCAACACTGCTGCGAGAGCTACCAGGACGCGGGCAAAGAAGGCGGTCGAGCCCGAGCCTGCGGTGGAAGAGCCCTCAAAACCCAGAAGAGGCCGTCCCAGAAAAGTCACAACACAACAAAATGAGGAACCCAAGCCCGAGCCGGTCAAGACGACCACGCGCTCTCGAGCCCTGTCGACGACAACCACGACGACGACCAAGGCCACAGTCAAGAAGACTGTTACATTCCAGGAACCGGAGAAGGAAAATATCGACCCGGTCACTTCTGCGAAATCTAAGCAAGCAGACCCTAAGCCCGCTACCGGACTTCGAGGTCGTCCAGTGAGAAGAGCTGCGGCTACGGCGGCTACTGCTTCTACCGCTGCCAGGTCTGCAGCTACCACGACGGCTACGAGGACTACTCGTGCCACCAGAACTACCGCTCGAGCCGCTGCAAAGTCGAGCGAGAAGCTCCCGTTAAGCCCTAAGAAGATTACGCAGCTTTCCGCTCCTCGAGATTATCCGTCCGAGGATGAGCTTGCGGCGCCGGAGAAGACACCCCTTCGCAAGAGCCCCATCAAGCCTCCGGCGTCAAGCACCCTCGTCAAGGGTAAGAAGGTCGAGATCGCGGCTTGTGCGGAGAAGCAAGCATTGGCGATCAGCAATGCTGTACCCGAGGAGACAGAACTTACTATGGCTCTAGTTAGCCCTGCCAAACGACCTCCCCCTTCGCCTTATAAGGACACAATGAAGTCTCCTGCCAAGCGTTCCGATGTCGTGCAGCTTCTGTCGACATCGACAGCCAAGGCCGGCGGCAAATCTACCACGGGATCTGGTACCCCGTTTAAGGCCTCTCTCCTGCAGTCCCCAGCCAAGCGACCTCCTCCATCCGCACTCAAAGCTGTAGTGCCCTCTTCCCTGTCGAAGCCTGAGCCATCGACTGCAGCTACCCCTTCTTTCAGGACTTCCCTTATGCAGTCACCTGCCAAGCGACCCATGTCGGCTATCAAGCTCTCCTTGGTGAGCCAGGATATGGCTCAGACCCCTGCTACCAAGCCCACGATTCTGTCGACACCGGCTCCTGCGTCCCACGCTAAGCCATCAGAGCTGCTTATGGATGACGATGAGGCTGATATCGACCCGCAACCGGTCCAGCGCAACCTCTTCGCTCAGCCTCTTCCTAGTCTCAAGTTCCCTGGGCGTCTGTCGGCTGTACTGCCTCGAGACGCCAACCCTGCTCTTGATCTAGAAATGACTACTGTCGACGAGGTGACGGAGGATGAGATTTCACTCATTATGAGCCCTCCGGCAAAGGAGCATGTCAAAGTCGATGAGGCTAATTCTGTCCAAGAGGCGGAAGAGGAGTCTGATAGCACCATTGAGCTTGATGACCACGAGATGACGGACGTCTTTGAGGCCGTCGAAGAACCTCAAGTCGAGGAGCTGGTTCCGGCTGAGCCCCTAGAGCAGCAGCCTTTGAGCCCCACTGGCACAACCACCCCTCCTAACTCACCTCCGAAAAATCTTCTTGGGTTTGGTCTTCGCCAGAAGGATCTCAACCCCTTCCAGGGCCTCGATGATGAGTCGGAGGATGAGCTCACTTCCAGCATCCAGCGCAAACCTTACCGCTCCTCGCGAAGCCCCGTCCGTTCCATCAATACTCCTTCGGCCGGCTCTCGAGGCAAGTCTATTGCGCCTTCAGCGTCCGGTGTCGGCTATACGCCTCTCGTAGCCAAGTTTGGTGCATGGTCTGCTACTAGCCCTGTGAAGAGGGCCTCCTCCTCTAACAGCAAGCGTGTCTCTGAGGAACCCACGGCCAAGCCAACCTTCTTTGAGGACGAAATGTCTGTAAGGAACACGGAGGATGTTGAGGACTTTGAGGCTGCCATCGAGGCCGCTATCGATGCGGATATCGCAGCGCTGATAGATCCGGTGTTTGAAGATGTCCCTATCACTGATGAGGACATGGCACTCGTTGCCGAGGCCCAGGAGATGTCCCTGATGGCGCCCGAGGAAGTGGACGAGGTGCTTGCCAACCAGGACGGTGAAGATGAAGACTCTCTATCCGAGGCCAGCCAGGATTACGGTGACGAGAACCAGGTCCCCGTTGATCCTGCGATCATTGAGTCCCACAGGCAAGCGAGTCCCGCAGTTCCTCCCCAGACCCCAGCTCGGGTACCAATTGCCAGGGAGTTCCACACCGTGTCCAAGGTGCCCCTGAAGCCCGCGGACGATTCTACCCCCAGCCCTCTTAAGAAGAGGCGCCATAGCGTTTCTCGTCTGCCAGTTTCCCGACCTAGCGGCGTCAAACGAAGTGCCACTGTCATCTCCTACACCCCCACCAAGAAGGATCGGGATCGGTCTGCCCCCAACACTCCTTCTGGAGACTCGGACCTCTGGTCGACTCTAGGCACGCCACCTCGCAGCCCCCACAAGCACCTCGACCCGGCCCTGCTTAGGGGTGCAGTGGTCTATGTTGATGTGCACACCAGCGAGGGAGCCGATGCCAGCAGCATCTTTGTCGATCTGCTCACCCAGATGGGGGCTCGCTGTGTGAAGACTTGGAATTGGAACTCCCAGGAGACTTCGCGGATTGGAATCACCCACGTCGTGTACAAGGACGGCAGCAAGAGGACCCTTGAGAGGGTTCGCGAGAGCAATGGCGTCGTGCAGTGCGTGGGTGTCACCTGGGTTCTTGAGTAAGTTGGGACGTAAACCTCTGAGGCAATTTAATGTCAGGTCTAACGATTCTTCTCTCTAGTTGCGAAAGGGATAATGTCTGGCTCGACGAAGCGCCATATAGCATCGACACGAGCCTCGTCCCCCGCGGCGGCGCTCGTCGCAGAAAATCCATGGAGCCCAAAGCCCTCGCAAACCTCAACGGCACCCTCATTAAAAGCCCCATCAAGCAAAGCCGCGACACCAAGACGGCGCCCAGCACACCTCTCCCCAACCGCCGCGACAGCACCGTCTGGATGCGCACCCCTCCCGAGCAACTCGCGGCACCCCTCGACGGAGAACAGGATGCCGAGGGCGACGATGACGACGACTGGCGACACCTCGCCATGCTGACACCCGTTCCTAAGACTCCTGCACCCGACGCCATTGCGCGCTACGTGGAGAATATCACGCCGGATACGCCCACCGAGGCTGGCGGGTCTCCTGCCGATCAGGACTTGTTGACGAGGACGTGCCCGCCGAAGAAGTTGTCGGCTGATGCCTTCAAGGAGTTGGGTCGGGACATGTTTAGTCCTGAGAAGGATCCGCAGGTGATGATGAGGCTAATGGCGGCGAGGAGGAAGAGTTTGCAGTTTGCGCCTAAGGTGGGGAGTCCGCTCTCCAAGGCTTGGAACTGAGCGTGGTGTTTTCTTGTTTACCTCTTGTGAGGATTACATTACCATTCGCGGATCTACTTGGTGTGTGGGAGGTTTTGTGTGTGTTTTTATACTCTTTCCGGATTAACCCAGACTCCCTTCCCGGGAACTAATTGGTTCCCGTGGATTCGGTTCGGACGAGAGAATGGACTTTAGTGTTGGCATATTTGTATTGTTTTGTTCTTACTTGGCGTTTTTGGGGAAATTGGGAATGGGCATGGTCGGACAGGATTGTTTCTGAGTTTTTATCAACCAATACCAGATTGTATTCACTTGTATGTGGTAGAGCGATGAGTGGGTGAACATTGGTCTTGGTCATAAGTGATATTCCGAAAGATTGAAACTGCGCTTTTGGCTCGTCCTTGGACGTGGGTCTAATTTTCGCTCCTTTCTTTCCAAGATAGTGTATGATCGCTATTCGCTGCGATGAACTCGAAGGAGGCATTGAACGACGTGGATGCCGCTGTCCTTGAAGTCTCCTTCCATTTCTAGTTGCTGGCATTACAAGTCAAATCGGCGTCGTTCCTCGCATTCGGATGAAGTATATCCATCCTCGACACACACGTAGGACCGCCTCCGTCCACCCATTTGACTTCGCTTGTATACCCTCGTTCGTGATATGACTCGGAAAGCTTGTAAAAAATATCCTTCTATCCATCTATACCCTAATCTGCACATACGCCTTCATGGCCGCAACAGCATCGCCCTCGTGCGCCTTGAGCAGATCCACCGCCTTCGCCTTTGGAAGGTCCAGTTCCTCGACCTAAAAGCCCCAGAGTTAGCCAAATGAACCAGCCATACATCCTCCTAAATTCCCGACTCCCCATTCCCCACAGGACAAGAGGAGAGAGCCTACCAATAACGCAACATCCGCCTGATCCACCTTCACGTTCTTATTCCTAACAGGCAAGCCCTTCGCGCCAGCCCCGCCGGCACCAGCCGCACCGCCACCGAGCGTCTTCATAGCGGCGCTCACGGCATCTTGGTCGACGTTGCTCGCGGCAGAGGATTCGTCGCGGGCGTCGAGGTGGGCGAGGGCGTTGGCGGCCTTGCGGTCCTCGGCGGACTTGGCGACTGGGGTCTCCTCCTCCTGGTCGGGGTTTTGGGTGGGTTTGGCGGTCATTGTGGGTGGTGTGGTGGGATTTCAACAGAAGGTTGTGTTCGTGTTGTGGATGAGATTGTGGAAGAATTGTGGAGGTGAGGTTGATTAAATGTAGCTATTTTGTAATAAGGCTAGTTTCATGGCGGGGTTCTGCGTTTTTGAGAACCCCACAGATGACAGACAAGGCTGTTGGCAAAGCTCTAAAGAGTGTAGTGTAACAACATATTACACACCACACCACTAGAAGCATGCGCTATAAGGGTTTAAAGTACGAAGTAATTCGGAATCTTTTTTTTTCGGGGGGGGGGGGTCAACAGGGCACGAAATATCCCGAAGAAATAATTGGCGATGGAGAACAAACTCCGCCCCCAGGCTCTTGGGTTCTAGTTCTTCACAAAAGGAACCTCGCCGAGTAGGTCTGCTCCGAGATTCGGCCTTCACTTCCTGTAAGATCTTTAAAGATCTTACAGGAAGTGAAGGCCGAATCTCGGAGCAGACCTACTCGGCGAGGTTCCTTTTGTGAAGAACTAGAACCCAAGAGCCTGGGGGCGGAGTTTGTTCTCCATCGCCAATTATTTCTTCGGGATATTTCGTGCCCTGTTGACCCCCCCCCCGAAAAAAAAAAAAAAAAAAAAAAAAGAAAAAGAAAAAATCAACGAATCTGGCTGCTGGTCACTCCCTAGAGAACTCAATTTCAATTCTCTTCGCCGACTGTCCTAGATTTTTTTTTTACCCTACTCTATACTATTTCTTCATTCTCCCTAAAAGTACATCGAGTCATCTTGCGTTGCGTTTCTATTCGTCCTAGTAATCTCATCCGCTTTTTCACCTAGAAACCACCTCCCTTATATCCTCTCCCTCTCTGACTCACTCCATTCTTCTCCCTTGACACCCTCAACCACAACCCAATTCCACAGCCCATCTTCGCAATGGCCTCGCAAACAAACCCCGAGGTCCCCGCCTGGACCCCCGACTCCTGGCGCACCAAGCCCATCAAGCACGTCCCCGAATACGCCGACCAAGCCGCCCTCACCGCCGCCACCACCAAGCTCGCCCGCCTCCCTCCCATCGTGCACCCGCGCGAGATCGTCTCCCTCAAAGCCCACCTCCGCGACGTCGCCCAGGGAAATGCCTTCCTCCTACAGGGAGGCGATTGCGCCGAGCTCTTCGACTACTGCGAGCAGTCCGCTATCGAGTCCAAGATCAAGCTCCTGCTGCAGATGAGCTTGGTGCTCATCTGGGGTGCCGACAAGCGCGTCGTCAGGATCGGCCGCATGGCGGGGCAGTATGCCAAGCCGCGGAGTAGCCCCATGGAGATTGTCGATGGGAGGGAGGTTCCGAGTTTCAAGGGTGATATTATAAATGGGTATCCGATCGAGGAGAGGGAGATTGATGCGGGGAGACTCGTGCAGTACGTTTGGAAGCTAAAAAAAAAAAATATGAAGGTCGGAAAGGGGGGATGGAGCACTCACTAACAGGACATGCGTAGAGCCTACCATCACTCTGCCGCCACGCACAATTACATCCGCGCCTCTCTCTCGTCCGGCATCGCGGACCTTCACCGACCCCTTGACTGGGGCCTCGGCCACGTCCGCGACCATACACTGCGCGCCAAGTACTCGGAAACCGTCCACTCCATTACCGATATGCTCCGCTTCCTCCACACCATCGGCGCTAACCGCACCGACACGCTCGACACCGTAGACCTCTTCACGAGCCACGAAGGTCTCGTGCTCGAGTACGAACAGAACCTCACCCGCCTCCTCGAGCGCCCACGCCTCACCTCATCCCCTTCCACCGGCGAGGTCCCCGAGCCTCCGATCAAGGAATACTACGACACGTCAGCCCATTTCCTCTGGATCGGCGACCGCACGCGCCAGATCGATGGAGCCCACGTCGAGTTCTTCCGCGGCATCGCCAACCCCATCGGCATCAAGGTCGGCCCCACGACCCCCGCTGACGACCTCCTCGTCCTCCTGCGCACCCTCAACCCGACGGCCGAACCGGGAAAAATCACTCTCATCACGCGCTATGGCGCCTCGCGTGTCCGCGACCTCCTCCCCCAGCACATCCGCGCCGTCGAGTCGAGTGAGTATCGCCGCTGCGTCGTCTGGCAGTGCGATCCCATGCACGGCAACACCATGTCCACGCCCTCCGGCGTCAAGACCCGCCAGTTCGCCGACATCTTCTCCGAGCTGCGCGAGACGCTTGATATCCATCGCCGTGAGGGCAGCTACTTGGGCGGCGTGCACCTGGAACTCACGGGAGATGCCGTCACTGAGTGTCTGGGCGGCGGAGAGAACTTGGACGAGGATGATCTGAGCACCAATTATACGAGTTTCTGCGATCCGCGGTTGAATGAGAAGCAGGCGCTTGAGCTGGCGTTTTTGATTGCGGATCATTACAGGCAGGAGAGAAAGCCACTCCCAATTTGAGGTGAGGGGGAAGTCGGAGTGGGTGGGGAGGGTTGGTGCGGATTGGGGGAATGAATTTGATTGGCGATGATACTGTGAATGATGAGGCATGAGCAAAAAAGATGGGATCAGGGAGGAATTGCAGGCATGCATTGGGTTTCCTTTTTTCTTTTAGAGAGATTTCCTTTTCGATTTTTTTTTTCCGTTAAAGAATAGAGAGTATTGATATCCCGCTCTTACTCGTTGATAGTTTTTTGCTTTCAATGGTTTTATGAATTTCAGGTATCGAGGCTATGTTCGTAGAGATGGCCCACCTCGGCCACAACAATCCTCTTCTCATCCCTTCTTTTAATCCCTTGTTTTGTACGAACGAACCGGATTTCATCCTCGTAAACTCTTAAATCTTGCTGGTTCTTCTATCGCCCACCACGTCCACGCCCACTTCTCCACCTCGTCTCCTTTCGCCGTGACATGACCCTCAATTGGCATAAAACGTCTGACCACCCTCAAAGACATCGCCCTTCTCCAACTTAGTCCACGACCGAACGCTACCAGCCTCAACGCAAATCATGTTCTTCCAGCCATCCTTGGGCTCGAAGTCGCCCATGCCGGCGGCCTTGTCGACCCAGGGGTTCCAGACGACGACGTCCGGGAGGTTGTCGCGGACGAGGGTGACGGTGGGCTTGCCGGATTCGACGACGCGGACGGGGTCCTTGGGGTCGGTCTCGGGATTGTAGACGCGGTCGGTCTCGCCAGTGATGGTGACGGGGCCGGATTGGGTCTTGGTTTGGGGACCATCCACCTTGTCGAGGAAGGAGCTGTTTTCGAGGCCGGTGACTTCGGTGGCGGAAATGTCCTGTAGAACAGATTGGTTAGTTCTCTGTTGTTTTGCCCATCTTTCCCTTCTCTTATTAGCCAGAGAGTAGGAGGGAGAACCCGTACCTTGACCCTGAGGTAAGTGTGAAGCAAAACCTGAGACTCAAAAGCCTCCTCACCCTCATTGCTAACCACAAGCGCAGTGCTCAACGATCCAGGGCTTAAAGTAACACTGTAGACAAGTCCAAACGCATATCCCCACTTCGCCTTCCAGTCCTCGCCAAGCGTTCCCGAGCTCAACCCGAAATCAAGCTTCACCGAGCCCTCAGCGGCATCATCACCGCCCTCGCTCGTGCTCTTACCCAAAAACTCCCACTTGGAATTACGCGCGAAGCCGTGCTGGGGCAGCGAGGCGGTGGCGGCGTGTCCGGGGGCGGTGCCAAAGACGGGGAAGACGAGGGGGATGCCGCCACGGACGGGCTTGGAGCCGTCGAGCTTGGCGGCGGTGGAGAGCCAGAGCTTCTCGGCGCCCGAGCCATCCTTCCAGCTGATGACGGTGGCGCCGTGGAGAAGCACCTCGACGGAGTCGCCGGTGGGGAGGACGGCGGAGACGCGGGTGTTGTCGTGGGAGGTGGTTATTTGGGCCTGAGGGGGGAGGCCGGGAGTGGTGGCCAGGGCGGCGGGGCGGTTGGGGCGGTCCATTTTGATTGGGGGTGTGTTTGGGTTTGGATAGGTGCTTTTTGGAGAGGGTTAAGTAGAAGGATAGTCTTGTCGATACAAGAGGGGTTGCTTGGTAAAGGTGGAGAGAAGGCGGAGGGTGAACTTAAAGCTTCGTGGGAATTTGGGAGGGGAGCTGTGGGAAGGGGAATTGGTAAGGGTGGAGTTGAAGTGTGATAGTATCTAAGGAGCAGAAAAGGAGAAAGGAGTAAAGGAGGGAAGAAAACACGATTCGTGATGTGATTGATGAACGGGGGGGTTTGTCTGATGAGGGACAGGTTGAAAAGAAAAAGGAGGGGCTCAACGTGGGCAAGGCTCGAAGGGTGACTTGATTGTAAGATTGGAACAGCTGATGAACAGAGCACCCTGGGCAGGGAAGGAAGTACCGACCAGCTTCCCAAGTACTCTTTCTTCCTGCTCCTAAAAGGGCGGTGGGTCTTTCCGAGAAATGAATCGTGTTACACGTTTGTTGGAAGGTGCAATTGTGTGTCAGCATGAAGCATCATCCAAGCCTGGAAGGAATACAAAGGTATTACTTCATAGTGAACCAAACCAAGGGAAGGAGCCATAGGAGCCATGTGGTTGATCGAGATGGAGGGGGAGGGGCGATCGAGGGGCAACGCAAGTGCACTACCAGGTGGGGCAGCCACGGCGGACACCGCTCAAGCTGGCAATGGAAACGCGAGAGCAAAAAGAGAGAGACGGGAAAGAGGGGCGGGAGCATCAATCAATCGCTGCTTGATGCTTGACTTGGAATCCTCCAACGAAGCTGAACCCCGCATAGCAATAGCTTGGGTGGGGTTTCACCAAGTTGAGCTCTGGATTTCGACGACCTGCGCTAATACCGCGCGCTCTATGTCCAGAATAGTTAGAGTCGAGTACCTGACTAGTCCACCGCTATCGAAGCTTGTATGGCCAAGATACTTAAAAAGTACTTCATGTCTTGAAGCATCCCAATGTCTCATATTGAAACAGCTCGAAGCAGGTCTCGATCCTCTTCCCCCGACTTTCCGGAACAATGCTATCGAGAATTGCCACTTTCTAATCTGATCAGTGAGAGCCTCTATTCTTGCCAAGCTCGCTGCTGCAAGGCAAGGCATAGCGTATCTGCCTCATGAGATCTTATCCTCAACACATATAATTAGCTCGAGAACTAATGCGGTAACTAAATCGTGAGCTTGATTTATGGCTGAATGTATGAATGTACCTGTGCCGCCAACTTGATCGGAAACCGGTATGATATGTACAGAAGTAGAGTCCGCCATCAACAAAACAATACTCTCTTGCGCCATCCAAACCCGGTGAACTCCGCCATGCTCCATATATGAAATGCAGTGTTGTTGTAAACAAATGAAGTCATCCCGTAATGATTCGCCAGAATCACGAAGCTTCATGCTTTCGGTCCCTTGTACCTCCCAACCATCATGTACATAAAGATAAAATATATAGAGAGAGAACAGAACTCATCGGTTCTTCTTCTTGTTCCTCTTTCTCTTCTTCTTCGCACCTCTCACTTCCGGTGGACATCCCGGCCTCGTTTCTCAGCCTCGTACAACTCCCTCTTAAAGTCCAAAAACAAATCCTCAATCCTATACATCTCCTCGCGCGAGAGAGCAACAGTTCGCATCTTCTCCAACGCCTTCTTGAAGTGCTTCTCGATTTTGTAAGTCGGGCCCTTCGTACGGCTGGACCCGCTCGTCAGCACACTGCCGTCGGTCTGAGAGTCCGCTCCGGCGCCGCCTTCGTTCACGGCATCCTCCATCGCCATCTCGACGTCTTCGGGATCAGGAACGCCTGTACCAAGACCCGAAGGTGGGCCATTTTCTCCAAGCTCGGGCGATTGTCGAGATTGGCTCTGCGAAGCCGCAATGTGCTCAGAGAGAACCTGAGACTGCACATCTTCGTCTTCCCCTTCGCTGCTTCGGGCTTGGCTTGAGTGGCGACGAAGCGATGGGCTGCTGGTGGCTGCCGAACTGTCGTCGTCATCCGTTGCGCCAGCCGAGCGTCTCCTCTTCGATCGCTCATCGTGCTGCCGTGAGCCTGAGCCCCTCTTCCGCTTCCGCCTGTGACTCGTGGATTTCTTGGACTTGGCCTCGACGGAGTTCGTTTGCTTCTGGGGGGTGGAGGGAATCTCCCGACCAGCGTTTTCTTCTTCCGCGTCTTCATCTTCGTCTTCGTCTTCGCCGTCGTCGGTCTTGACGGTTATGCAGTCCTTTACTGCTGCCCTCCGGCTGCTTCGCGTTCTTCGCTTCATCTCTGCTTGCTTGGCTTCGGCTTCCTCTACCAGTCGGATCATGCTTCGCTCGGCTGCCTCGCTAATAGCGAAGCTAGTTTCCACTGAGGAAACGGGCTCCGGTGCCTTGGGGCTTTGCCGTGCCTTCGCGCGCGTAACCACTTGTGGACTGCTCGGAGCATCTACGAATTCGTCATTATCTGATTTGGGTGTAGCATCAAGGCCACGTGCGCATGTCTCGCGTGGCGGCGTCGATGGGACGCGCTTCTTCTCGACTTGACTTTGCTTCTGCTTCTGCAGCAGCTGCTGTGAGTCCTGTCGGACACTCTGTCGCGTGCGGCGTCGGGAAGGCGTCAAATTCTTAGCCTCGTCCTCTTCGTCTTCCTTCTCAGCTTCCGGCACCATGAGCTCATGCGCAGCGCTCGACGGTACCACATCCATGGCGAACGAGTCTTCCACTACAGCAATATCCTCGCTATCATCAGGGACGTGACCGTCGTCCTCCGCTTCCGGTTCCTCCTCCTGTTGTACAATTACCCTCTGAAGTGGGAGAGGAGAACCGGACACCGGTGAGGAGGAAAACTCCCAGTTGACATTGTCGGCGACGCTGTTTGATCGCGACTGTATCTCCGGTACAAGTGGATATCGGCGTACTTGGGAGAGTTCCGGAGGCGACGAAGGTGGGTCCGACATCTCAACGTCTTGAAGTGGCAGCATCTGGCCCCTCCGCGGCGTGGGCGTTGAGCTAATGTAGTCTTCATATGACTTTTGCCTTGCTGGAGTGTCCCTCTTCGGCGTTTCTTTCTTAGGGTCTGGGAGAGCGGGAGAGGGCTCATCGCGGGCATCATCCACTTCCATGGCCTCGTTTCGGGTAGGACTAGATGACCTCATATTGTACAGTACCTCTTGTTCTCGTTGTCTTTCCCGAACCTCCAGCTGGTGCTCCGTCAAGTTTTGAGACTCCTCATTGTCCGTGGTGGACGGGACGGGCTCAAATTGGATCTGAGAATCTTCATGTCGCAACTTTGTCTTGGACTTCTGCTGTTTCCTGTTCCGACCACTGTTTTGCGGCTTCTTAAAATCGGACGCGACGAAGGGAAGGGGCGTAGGAGCAATTGAGGACCCGGATGAAACGAAATGAACCCTTTCGGAACGAGTGGACCTTGGCGGCGACATATTTAGCACCTCCATGTCATCCTGTGATTGAACAAAAGCGTGCTGCTGCTGTGCAGCCCCCGACTCTCCACTTGTTTCGTCGAGACCAGGCAAGACAAGGTCTACCATAGATCGAACGGACAAGAGCGTCGTCTGGAGGGCTTCCGGGTAGGCGATCTCTTGAGTATCGTGGAACATCCTGTTCCATAGCATGGCGACGCTATTCACCACATGCCTGTGCTTGCTTTGGAACGCGGCACAGAACAGCCTCTCGAAGGTTTCTAGATGAAGGCTTTCGGCGGTCTCCTGAGACGAGATGAAGTCGCAGATTTGATCCCACAGCTGCTTGGCCTGTTCAACATGTTAGCTAAAACCACCCAACATCGCAGGTATGTTTCCTCATTTCTTATTATACATACAGCTGAAGCCGTGTCCGCAGATTGCCGGCTGCTTAGTCGCGACTCGTCATCCTTGATCCAGAAGACCAAACCATCCTGTAGAGTACATACAGTCTTGAGAACGAGACTGTTGTTACAACGCCTTAAAAACCCGTCCAGTTCTGTGAGGAAGGGGGCAGCGAGTTTCGCCATCTCAACATCACCGAGGCTGCTGTATAGCTCCTCCATCACGACGTTCGAGAGCTTGTAGAGACTATCAAAAGGGTCGAACGAGGCTGATTTTGCCGTGGATGTGCCCCAAAGCCGCATTCGAGCGGAATCAACGGTCTGTCGGTCACGAGGCTGGCTGGCTATGTGTAGTAGGGCGGTAGTAGCATAGACAGCTCTGGGATCCACACTTCGACCTGTCGTGGTTACATGGTCAAGTATTGTCTTGGCCAGAGGTTCAACCAAGGCGAGTGCCCTGCCCGCGGGCCCGGTCTCCTCCGTAATGTGTGTTTCGACGGCCTCTAGGAACGAGGACCAGCATTCGGAAGGAAGATTTGGGGTCGATTTAAAGCCACGTTCGAGAATGCGGCACAGATCGCGGTATTCTTTGCCAACGAGGGGCTCAAGGCTGCTAGTCGGAGCGAAAGATGGAGCACTTCGAGATTGTCCAGAGGCGAGCGCTGTCTTCACTGCATTGGCGGCCATGATCCAGGGTCCGTACGGGCAAAGCGAATCCATTGGAACTGAGTTGAGCATCTCCTGCGTCAAATCGGAGGCTGCCCTTGCGTTCTTAGCTTTGAAGAAAGGCGCAAACACGCCGGTGGAAAAATCCGCAAAAGCAGCATCATCCGGGACACCATTCGGGAGTGTCGAGAGGATTGTAAATAGGTGATGGAGTGGTGTCCTCGAGACACCAGCAACCTTGGTTGATCGATGTGAAGGCGTTGTAGCCGGCGTGAATGTGTCCTGGCGGCTGCAAAGCTGCTTCTCGGTAAAGGGAAGAAGCCCGAATGCTTCAACGACGGTGCCGATGAATTGACGGATGCTAGAGAGGAAGATAGGCCCGAATACAGAGATATCCTGGCCCTGGGAGTTTTCTTTCGTAATGCCCCTCCTCCAGTATCTCAGGAGTGAAGTAAACACGTACGAGATGAACTCCGTAGTATCGAAAGAGACCTTGATCTCCTTGGAAGCGGCGGAAGAGACGGATGCGATTAGAGTATACCACAGCTTATAGGTCGAGGTCGAGGTACGCCCGATGTCGGCAAAGTTCCTGTCGAGAATGGGCCGAAGCACGCTGAATACCCTGGCGGCATTGTGTCGGAGCCACTTGGGCTCCAAGGGGGGAAGCTCTGAGGCGTCGGCCAAGGGGTTAGTAAGGACTCGATCTTCAATCCATTGGCGACGAGTCGTATTATCGAACAGGCTGGTGAGGATGGAGATGGCCTGGTCAACACGCTCCTCCGGCTGATTGTTTGCGCATAGTTGCTGCATAACCGGCTTGACGGTCGTGTCCCAGTACTTATCGAGCAGTCCCTGAGAGACACCCGGCTTGAACGTGTAATAAAATAAATTGCAAGCACTGCCGAATATGACGTTTTGAAAGCCTTCGTCGGTCTTGGGTGCCGACACCTTCCGCTTCCATTGGCTACAGACTGGCTGGCACAGGGTACTGCCGAGAAGTTTGGTGTATGACGCCTCTTCGAAGTGGAGAACATAGACGAATCGATTCCATGCGTAGTTGGCCTCCTGCTTCGTCTGCATATCGCCGGAGTTGAAGCATTGCTGGATAACCCGGAGCCAGTGATTCAAGTATTGCCACTTGTCCAGTTGGATGCCCCTCATAAGGAGAAGCACAACGCTCCAGATCTTGGGAACGAATGAGGCGTCCTGCCTCGACCGTAGCATTGTTTTTAACCGGTCGAGATAGAAGTCAACATACTTCTGCTCATCGACCATGGCCTGGAAGAGGTCGGCGAGCTTCTTGGATACTTGCCTGTCCTTGCCGATGGTCGACGCAGCCTCAAAACCCAGCACTATGGCAGCGCCGCGGATATCTTTTGTGTTGCTCAGTGTATCTGCAAGAAGATCATGTAACCAGCTGGTATGGACCAGCATGAGGGGTTTGCACTGCTTGATCAACCGCCTGTAGATCATGATGCGGGAATGGATGATGCTCTTCCCCGTGACGTGCTGCTCGATATTGCTCAACGCCGCTAGAAGGCGGCCTACTCGATCGGGGGTCATGACACGCGGTGAGAAGTTTTGTTGCGCAACGACCTGGAGGAGGTGCCGTGTGACATCCTTGGAGACGGCCGAATCCCCGAACGAGCGTATGCAGTGATCAATCATGAAGATGCCGAAATCGTTCGTGAGAGAGCTCGCTACTCCCGGGAAGTGCAGGATGGTGAGTAAAAATGTGAGGGCGTGGTTTGTGAGGGACGAGTCCGGTGGAGAAACGGTGATATCACGCTGGATGTACTCCATGAATCTAGGCATCCTCTCCTGGAGGGCGACCCTATCGGGCAGGTTATTAGATGCTCGTAGAGCGCGACTGAGAATGCCGTAGGCATCCATCCTATCAATCCGATCATCGCCGGCCAAACGGCGTGCCGACGATTCCAACATGTTGATTAGGCTATACTGGCTGGTCACACCATTGGCGGTATTGAAGGAGATGTCGAGGGGGTTCGGGGAGATGAAGGGCTTCAAGATGCCCTTTTGAGGTTTCGAGGCCTTGGAAGAAGGGACGAGGGGGCCCGAAGGCGGAGAAACACGATTTTCGGAGTCGTATACGGGAGCTTCCCTGATCAGGGTATCGGAAGCAAACGCCACGTTTTTACCACTCCTCCTTGAGCTCGGGTTCGAGTCTGTGGCAGCAGATCTTGGCGAGTGGACACCGCTGGGCGGGGTTTGGAGGCTCAGTCTCGGGTCGAAGGATGGTCGAGCCAGAACTTGCTTGAAGGGCGCATCGGCCATGGGATCGTAGGTAGACTCTCGGGGAGGAGTGGGAGGTCGGGGAGGGAGAGTCTCGAGGAGAATGGCGGACATAACGTTTTAGGGAAAATAGAAAAAAAAACAAAAGACCAAACCCAAGCCGCAACACAGTCGCTCGTGGTGGGCCTCTAAGGGTGGAATTAATCCGTCAAGTTGAGGTCTATACGGTAGACATTGAGGAAGACTGGAGATAAATCGAAAGGAAGCGGACAGTCGTTGGCCGTGAGACGGGGTGATGGAAAGATGGGAATGTACAAAATGATCGTAATGAGAACACCGGCTTGACGGAGACTGTTCCGAGATTATGGCAAAACGAAAAAAAAAAAAAAAATGGGAATTTCAGGATGAGGAGCAAACGAAGAGTGTAGGCATGGAACAATTCGGTGAGGTGCTGGAGAAGCAAGTATCCGAGAGGGTCATGGGAAGTAAGAGAATGCCTCAGCTAAGTGCCATTGCCCAGTCGACCAAGCCATGACAGGACCGACGACCGACGCCAGCAGAAAAAAAGCCATTAAACACGATCGCGCTTGCACGAACCGGACGCGTTCCTGTCGCGGAGAGTGTCTGTGAGCTCTGACCACTCTGGAGTCTGTGCGGGGAGGATCTTGGCTTCGTCGAGTGGAGAAACCAGGCAGCTGCTGGCAGCTTGAGCTCAAAGATATTGCGTCAGCTGGCATCAGTTGGACTTTCAAAGACTTCTTCAAATCTTGGCCAAGAGAGACTCAGAGAGTTGACTGTCGAGCTCAACCGCAGAAGATGCTCGCTTCCAATCATACGTAATAATAGCTGCGGCTCTTCTCGAGAGGCAGTTTCGTCTGTCTACAGCAGCTCGGACATTGGCGTTTCTGGCTGGGGCGTAGCTCACCTCATCCAGCAGCAGCAGTCCGCTCTCTTTCAAAGGTGTTTTCCAAAGAGAATCGGATGGGCCTCCAATATATCTCCACAGTCCCCCACTGATCCCACTTGGAGGACATGAGACCAAGAGGCCGCCTTTCAAGCCAGTCAAGAAACATTGAACACAAACTGATAGAGCCAGAATGTGCACCTGCCATCAATTAATACTGAAACTAAAGAAGAAAGCAAGATGTAACTAGAGGTTTTAGTTAATGACTGATATTTTCACTAGCTAAAGTATCAACCTATATTAACATCAATAATCAATAAAGAGCTACATTTCTAGCTAATCTCTCATTCAACGTACCTCCCTTGTACTTGCCCTGTGCAAGAACATTGATGAAATCAATATCCTTCATCGCCACTTACGGGATCATGAGTTAGGATGTCGTTCGCTGTCCAAGCTAGCATCCCTATGAAAAGATCAGCTCAACGATCTACTCAACAGCCTCCCTGCGAGCAACAGGGAGTATGAGAGCTTACCTTAGGCACCATTAACGATCGCTTGTGGTTTCATAGCTCCGATCCTTATGGATTTTATCACAGTTAAAACAGGGCGCCATATTCCCTCTCCCACTTCCTTTGCTTCAGCAAACTCGAGGTAACAATTCTTGCCGCCCTCCAATTGAAGCACCCGACTCCATCCCCAAGCTCGCTTCAGGGACACCAACCCGCCCCCCCTGCCGTAGGAAAAGAAGAAGCCAATTAACTCGGAAAATTTTCATTCCAGCGAAGACGAAGAAGAAGAAGAAGCACAACAACAAGAAGAAAAACGAACCATCTCTATTCCAAATCCCATATTGACGATGCCCTACCAGTCTCGGACCCCTTCACCAGAGGGAGTCGCGAGTGACCTTATCTCGCCGGCAGCTGAGCCGTAAGTTGCCATTTTCCCAATATCTACAAGCTTCGTTGACTGTCGACTGACGCAAGGCAATTACAGGATGGCTCCATCTCTTAGCGATGAAGAACTTGCCGACACCGTTGCTGCGGAGGCCCCAAGCGAGCCGGCAGCCTCTCGCCCGACTCAGCGTAGCAGGGGTGGTCGTCGAGGACGCGGAGGCCGTCTTCAGGGCCAAATTAAATCGCATGGTAAATTTTTTATTTTTATTTTCCCCTCTCCCATTTCCTTCCCTCGGATACGACGCTGGTACCTAAAGCTAACAAAACCGCCATGGCTCCAGCGGCTGAGGTATCGACCAAGAATGGCGAGGCCCTGGCTTCTAAAGCTGGCGTGAGAGGAAAGCGTGGTCGACCCAGGGGCGTGGCCGAAGAGCCACCAGCCAAAAGGGTCCGTCGCAGCGAAACCGCACCTCGTAGGAGCACAAGGGTGGTGAAGCAAACGGCGGAGAAGGAGACAACTCGTGATGCGGCCAAGATCGTCAAAAAGGTACGGCCACCTATGTTTCACGGCGGATCACAGAAACCATTCTCTAAAATCCAATATTTAGGTCAAGGCTGCTGCAAAAACGCCCCCCAAGCAAGCCAAGCGTCGTGGTCGTCCTCCCAAGAGCGAGAAAGAGAAAGAGTGGGAGGTTGAATATGTTGTCGATAAGAAAATTGACTCGAAATCCCAAGAAACTTCCTACTTGGTGAAGTGGAAGAATTATCCCGAGGACTCTAACACCTGGGAGCCCGAGGCTAATCTCGGGAACTGCCAGCGAGCGATTCGCCTCTTCGAAGCACAACAGGTCTCTGGGAAGAAGAAGGGCAGGAAGTCGAGAGGCTGAGTCGATGGAGATCATGATCAATATGCTCTCTTTTCTTCTTTTTCTTTTTTTTTTTTTCATTAGTTTCATTTTTCTTTTTCTCCTACGCCGTTCGGGTTCATCTCGATGTCTGAGCTGCGAATAATATGCATGGTAAGACAGACACTCGAAGCTCTTACCCTGTTGAATTCGAAGAATACTAATAGCCGACGCATATACCTTCGTGCTTTAGTTTTCACTAGCTTTCATTATCACCGACATGGAGACGGACAAGGATTCATCATGGGCCCGGAGTTGGGTGTTTCAACAGATTTTCGTGTTGATTCGCCAGTTTAGATTCAGCACAGGCGAGTTTCCACCTTCCACGGGAAGCTCAAATCCAACTTTAAGAGGTTACCGGCTGTCTGGCTCGTGGGCTGAGCGGGCAAGGGCGGCATGCTTTTGCGGCATTGCATCGTAAAGTTGCAATGGATCAACAGAAATCAATGCAAAGTAGCGCCCAAATATTAAATTATTACGGGATTAAGCCAGATAATATACCCATCTCCATTCCAAGAGCCCATCAATTTTATTATTTGTTTTTTATTACTTCAGTCTCCTTAGTTGCAACATCTGCTCGCTATTTTGCTCTTCTCTCTTCTCCACGTCACGGCGCAAAAGCTGGAGACAAGCTCAAATCTAGCTCCAGCTCCACCCATTCACAACAAGATTTGGTCCAACACAAAAAATCTGCCGACCCAGAAACGTGTCCACTTAAACCTCGTCTCTCCACTTCCCCAAACCAGCCTCGAACGATCGCGTCCCCCAAGCTCTCCCACGCGTCCGCAACCGAAATCCTCCAAATCGAAGAGGAAAAGCTATCCCCAACGAATCTACAACCCCATCCTTATCCTCGCCCACCATGGATGTCCTCCGCACCACCCTCCAGCCCATAACCCACAACCTCCCCGCCCCCCTCCGCACCTTCGCCATCTCCCTCATCGGCCCAACGTGCTACCAAACCCTCGTCCTCGACCTTGACCTAACCGACCAAGCCTGCCTCAAGCTCGCCCTCTCCAAGGGTCTCGGCATCGGCATCGTCGCCGCCTCCTCCATCGTCAAGGTTCCCCAGATCCTCAAGCTCACCTCCTCGCGCAGCGCCGAAGGCGTCTCCTTCCTGTCTTACCTCCTCGAGACCGCCGCATACCTCATCGGCCTCGCCTATAACTTCCGCAACGGCTTCCCCTTCTCGACGTACGGAGAGACCGCCCTCATCCTTGTCCAGAATGTCGCTATTGCCGTGTTGGTGCTTCATTACTCGGGGAAGTCGGGCTTGGCGGCCGCTTTCGTAGCGGGATTAGCTGGCGCCGCTGGCGCGCTGTTTACTGAGGAGGTTCTGGATATGAAGACTTTGGGCTGGCTTCAGGCCGGCGCTGGTGCGCTCGGCGTTGCGAGCAAGGTGCCTCAGATTGTCGCCATTTGGGCTGAGGGCGGCACTGGTCAGCTCAGTGCTTTTACCGTAAGTTTTTTGAGACTTCTCAAATTCCAGATCAAACTATGCGGCCGTTTAAAAAAGAAAGAGAAGAAGGGGAATAAAGTACTTGGCTAACCGCTATCTCCTTTTCCAGGTCTTCAACTACCTCCTCGGATCCCTCACCCGCATCTTCACCACCCTCCAAGAAGTAGACGACAAGCTCATCCTCTACGGCTTCATCGCCGGCTTCGTCCTCAACGCCGTCCTCGCCGCCCAGATGCTCTTCTACTGGAACTCGCCCTCCTCCACGAAGAAGCCCCGCGTCGTCGCCGTCCCTCTGAAGCGTGAGGCCGCCGCGCCTATTGTGCCTTCGTCTTCGGCTAAGTCGACGGGTACCACGCCCAGGAAGGGTCCTACCACCAGGAGGCGGGGTTGAGCTGTGTTGCGTCCGCGTTAGTCGTCTTTGAGTTTTTAAACTGCTTTTCGCAAACTAGATTTAAGTGCCTCTCAGCTCAGTTTTTCTTTTGTTTCTACAGTCCTAATCCAAAGAAATGGTAAATTTTAATGCATGAATCATAAGGAGCCCTTTAGTTTATGGTCTTAGTGACTGAAGTGGAAATGTTTCAAATTCTAACAGATATTATACAACCCAACCTAGTCTATATGCGTGTTACAGGGCGCCCAACAAGTAGTACATGGAATAATACAAGGAAGTGAAGTCAATCAAAGAGTAAACACTCCCCTACTCACGAAGCTTCAAATGATATGTCTCCAGCTGGCTCTCTGTCAACTCCCCAGGACTCCTCGCAAAGAGATCCTCTCCCTTCATACTCTTCGGGAAAGCAATGACATCCCGAATCGAGTTCGTCCCCGTCAGCAACGCACAGAGTCGGTCGAATCCAAAAGCGAATCCAGCATGAGGCGGCGCACACCGCAGAGCGCTCAGCAACGGTTCGAAGTCGGCGATGCGCTCCTCGCTCATCCCCAGTACCTCACGCATGATGGCTTCCTGGATGTCGGCGCGGTGGATACGTCGGCTGCCGCCTCCTATCTCCGTACCGTTGAGGACTAGGTCGTATGCGTCGGCCTTGGCCTTGAGAGGGTCTGTGCGAAGGAGTTCGAAGTCTTGGGGTGTGAGGGGCGCGGTGAAGGGGTGGTGGGTGGCGGAGAAGCCGGCTGTGCCGCCTTGGCCTGGGGTGTCATCCTCCTCGGGACTGAAAAGGGGGAATTCGGTGACCCAGAGGAATTTGAATCCTTCTGGCGCTTCGATTAAGCCTTTGGCGACGGCGGCGTCGAAGATGCGCTTGCGCACTTCGCCGAGGTTAGTGGAGCCACCATAGAAGGGGCCTTTCTTCCTTGCTTGGAAAACGACGACGTCGCCAGGCTCCAGATCCCCAGGACCTAGGTCTGGAAGTAGCGGGTCTATACCCTCCGGACCTAGCGAAGAGAATCCGTCCCGGGGTTGTTGAGGATCAAAGATGAGGACTTGGGGGGTTCCATCAGGGTGATCTCGGAATTGCGTGTTCAGTCCATCCATGAACTCATGGACGAAAGCGCGGACTTCACGGACCGAGGAACCCAGGTGAAATTTCCAAGCTTCAACGGTTGAATCTTTGAGGTAGGTAATCATGCTAACGAAGTTCTCGCTAACATGTTTAGTTACATCAGAGATCTGAGTCAAAGTTAGCGCATGTTCTCAAGGCAAGGTGTGCCATGGAGAGGAACAAAGGAAGAGCAAACAAACCTGGCCGGGAATCCGAAGATCGGGCTTGTCGGAGCCGTAGAGTGTCATGCATTCATGGTAGGTAAGACGCGGGAAAGGTTCTTTGGGCAGTGCAGGGATGTTTTGCGATTCCAGTTTCTACCATAGTCAGTGACCGTTTATTCAAGGCCTGATGTTCAATGAAATTACATACCTGGATATCGGGTCTAGAGGCGTGCTGGTTCTGAACTGGGATGAAAGAGTCTCCATATTTGTAGAGAGTATGGTCCTCGCAGAGACGTTGCCACGCCTCCTTGACGATGTTCTCGATGTCAGACGTGATCTGCCGGCCATCGGCGTACGACTTTTCCATATCAAACTATCATGGACACCCGTCAGCAGATGAGATTACGGGAAATAAGCGTCCAGTTGCGACAAAATACGAACCTGCATAAACTCTGGCTGCCTATCAGCACGCAAGTCCTCGTCCCTAAAGCATACCGCAAACTGCTGGTACCCGCGAATACCTGATGCCATGAGAGCCTGCTTGTACTGCTGTGGGCTCTGCACTAGAGCGTAAGCGCGTCCCCTTGTGCGTGTGGGTACCAGGAATTCACGCGCTCCCTCGGGAGTAGACTTGAAGAGCATTGGCGTGGTGATGGCGCTGTAGTCATACTTGCTCGCCACAGAGCTAAGAGTCGACTGTAGCCATTCCCTAAACCTCAGCCTGTGCCTGAATTCGGTGTGGAAGCGCAACTGCAAGAACCTGGATTCCGGCGCGAAGTTGTCGTTCTCGGTCAGGACGATATCCTTAGGAAACGGGCTGAGGCAATCGATTGATGAGGCGACCAGCTCATACTGAGGAGGCGCATTAGGGTCGGAGACCTTGGACGGTTTCTCGACCAGCTCGCCGGTGATGGATACAGCGCTGAAAAGCGGTATCTGGCGAAGCTTCTGAAGCAATTCCTTCCCTTGAATGACGACTGGGAACTCCACGGCGGCGGATTCACGGGTGATAGAGATGAACCCGAGCTTGGAGGAGACGACTCGTTTCTTGTCCACAGACCCATTCAGCGTAACAGATTTGGTTGGCTTAGGATTTAAAAACAATTCCCTGGGAGACTCTTGAGGAATTGGGCTAAGATATGCCTTGTACTCCTCAACGAGCTGGTCCCATTGCGTCTCATTACTTGTAAGCCTCGCGGATGAGGGTGAGTAAAATCTGTGTCGTGCCGGGGTCCAGGTTCTCACGAGTGACCGCTGGATTGTGGTGACACCCCGTAAGGGGCATCGTCGAAAGGCTAAAGAAGCCATTGAAATTCAATAACGAGGGAATGGAGAGCAAGCCGACATGGCGCTGTGTAAGTGTGAAAGGAGCAATTGACTTATAAGGAGCTCTGACAAGTTTGGATGGAGTGATTTCAATATTACACGAGGAAATTCCGACCTTGGAATTGATTGAGTGGTTCGAGAAGGAGGTGGTCCAAGCTCCCCTACACGAAGGAATTTAAAACGACTTCTTGGGGAGACAGCTCAGACATCACTTCCGAAATTTAGGATCTACTTGATATAGGTTGGGATAAAGCACACAACATTATAAGAGCTCTCTATTATAATAGAGTTGACATTTATATTCTAGCTAGAACAGGATTGCACTCGAGCGTAGATATATTCCGTAAGCTGTAGCTCTGTAGCTACAAGCCACTTGCCTTTTAATGCGGCATTGGTAGCTCAATCGGCTCAGAAAGGCAAGATGAGGATGAGGCGGAAAAGGCCGTGTTTGGTCAATTGCAGCACTTGCTGTGAAAAGTAGTTCGAGAGGGGAAACAGGGGGGAAATGAGTTCTAAGTACAAAAGCCATCTAGCCATCTACCCACTAGTCAGCTCTGAGCTGCGTGACAAATCGCTTGATCCGTCAAACCATACAGCTTTTTGCCGGAGATGAAAGCAACGCGCGATGGACGAGAAATTCCCTGAATCATAGGCGGCACATCTGAACGAGTGTGCCGTGCCATGCGACTATCGAATTGGACCCGGGGCCCTGTCACTCCCACCTGCTGAAGGAAGGAATGAATGCGACGAAGAGTACTGCGCCAACCATCCCAACAAAAGAAACAAAATTCCCGAAAAGGCCTCGACTCCAAGGTAATCAGATTGCCGTTTTCTTCGCGTCCGAATGTACAAGGTAGGTTGTGTCGGACGCAGATATCATGGTGTCACTCAACCATTACAGCAGAACCACTTGAGCCCCCGAAAGGGAGAGTTCTGAAGCTCTGATTGGAGAAACCTGAAATCATCTAAAACACGAAGGCATCATCACCTGAGAGATGTTAGCATTATGCACTGCAGACGCGAATTGATTGCGATGTAGTGGAAGAGCTGCTGGGGCTACTCACATTTATTTGAAGGAGGGATATGGAGAGGAAAGAGAGAAATTTCCAAAAAAGTTTCGGACCCTGGAGGTACTTATTGGACCCGTTTCTTGGTGGGGCCTGGCCACTGTGGCGTCGGTCGCTGCTGAGATCATCATGTAGCAGCAACGGTCGGCCAAAAGTCAAATTAACCTCAAAATACTGTTGGTAGCGTCGTGGCACAAAAGTACATTCGACCTCTAAACCTGGACAGGTTCCCCGTCCTGGCTAATCAGGGGCAACATCGGCCCGGTCACCAGCCACACCAACAAAGGTTGATTACAGCGCAGCCAAATCTGTCAGCCTCATCGAGCTTGGCATTCCTCTGAACAGGGAACTGACGAGAATAGTGAGATGGCAGCCAGGGCTCCCTGACATTTCCCGCCTGCAACCCAACCCAAACTTCGTATTCACGCAACGTCAGCGGCCTGACGATAAATCTTGCCAGCACCGCATCGTCGCCACGGTCGAAGCATCCTTCGAAGGTGACCGATAGCCACATCCGAGACGCTTGCCGTGAATTACGCCTCTGGCTTTCAAACTCCGACTGCCTCCTATTATCCCCAACCCCAGGCGATAACGAAGCTCTCACACTGCCTCGCTGTCCCATGGCACCGACAAGCCCATTCACCTCCCACATCCTTAGGTCCGAGCTTTCACGATAATTGTCCATTTTGCTTCGATTCCACTACTCGGAATTTACTCCAGCGAGCATTTCCATTCGACCGCTACGCCCTTTCTTGTATACATCCGTCAAATATACTGCTCAGTTGCACTAGCCGCGACCCCGGCTGTCCACAACCATGTCGAGCTCCTTTGAAAAGTCCGTCAAGGGCGCTACTAAGATCAAGGCCGCACCGCCAAAGACGAAGTACATTGAGCATATTTTAGTGGCGACTCATTCCGGTGAGGCCGGCGTTGGAGAAGTCTTTCGCGCTCTACAATTTCGCCTCCGCGATTCGACATGGACCGTCGTCTTCAAGAGCTTGATCACCGTGCATCTGATGATCCGTGAAGGTAGACCAGACGCTACACTCGCGTACCTGGCTAAACATATCAATATTCTCGCCATCAGTTCCTTTACCGATGGTAAGATTCCCCGCGGTTGTTTGCTTTTTTCATTCCCTTCGAGACTTCTGGATCTACGTGTAACTAACAACAAACCTACAGCTCAAACCCAAGGCCGCAACATCCGTCATTATGCGCGATATCTCGCCGAACGTGCTCGAGCCTACAGAGACACGAAATGCGACTGGGTTAGGGCAAAAGAGTCACGGCTCGAGAACCTGTCGGTAGAAAAGGGCTTACTGAGGGAGACAGAAGTCGTTCAGCACCAGCTGTCTGCCCTCTTGGCGTGTGATGTATGTCGGATGGACCTTTTTGAATTCTTGCGCTGTTGCTAATGTGCTCTCGCTCTCTCCATATAGGTCATGGAGCAGGACCCGGAGAATGAAATAACAATCACAGCCTTCCGGTTGCTTGTTCTCGACCTCCTCGCTCTCTTCCAAGTCCTCAACCAGGGACTGATTAACATTCTAGGTACGCTGTTGTCGTCCTACTGCTGCGGCTTCATACATTGTTTGTGACTGACATGATCCTAGGTCACTTTTTTGAAATGTCCAAGCCCGACGCTGAGCGAGCCCTTAATGTCTACCGAAAATTCACAAAGCAGACCGATTATGTCGTCCAGTATCTCGGAGTGGCTCGTCAGTATGAGCACCATACGCGGGTCGAGGTTCCTAAGCTGAAGCACGCACCCGTCCACCTTGGTCGCCAACTGGAGGACTATCTCCGAGACCCAGACTTCGAAATCCACCGCAGACAATACATTGCTGAGCTTGACGCAAAGAAGAAGGCGGGGCGAACGGGTGGCGCTTCGGCTATTGCCCGACTCAAGCAGGCCGAGTCTAACACGTCTTCTTCCAAGCCTGCGTCAAGCACCACCAACGGATCGCAAACCGCTGCATCGAAACCCGCGCAGCCGTCGAAGGGACCCGATCAAGATCTGATCGACTTCTTCGACTCGATCGAGCAGAACCAGACCACCATGGCGGTCCAAAGCACTGCTCAACCTCAAGTCACCCAACCTCAAGTCACTGTGCAGTTCCCGACCCAGGCGCCTTTCCAAGCCCAACCCACGGGCTTTGTGGGCAACGGCACTGTTATGGCTCAACCCACTGGCTTCGGAGCCCACAACCCCTTCCAGCAACAGGCGTTCTCTGGCTTTGTCCAGCAGCAGCAGCAGCAGCCGCAGCAAGTGGCTCAACCTCAACTGCAACCAAACTTTACTGGTGCTGGCTTCGGTGGCTTCTCGCCCCAGCCAAGCTTCCAGCCCGGCAATCTTGGGACTATCCCCCAAGATGCCGTCGCTTCCTTCCAACAGGCAATGCCTACCGGCGCTCCAGGCTTGGCGGCGCCACAGACCACCAATCCTTTCCGCGCCTCCATGCTTATCAACCAACAAGTCACGTCACCCATCCAGCCCAATTCTCTCTCAACGCCGACGAGTCCGGCCTCCAACAGGCTCTCTACCAACCCCTTCGCCCTAGCTCAGCAGACCGGCGGCGCCTTTCCCATGCAGCAGGCACAGCAACCCACTGCGGCTCCTTTACAGCCCATGGCCACGGGGACGAACCCCTTCGCCAAGAACGTCCAACCAATCCAACCAATTCAGCAACAACCCCAGCAGACCGGAGCAAACCCTGGCGGCCTCGTGCCCCAGGCCACCGGCACGACCAATCCCTTCCGACAGAGTACCTTTGTCAACCACAACACCGGCATGGGCTGGCAACACAACCAGATGCCTATCGGCGGCGGTCTCGACCAGATCCAGACCATTCCCGTCTTCCCTCGCCCCGCTCAGCAGGCTCCATGGCAGCAGTAGTAGAACCCTGCGAGCCGCAGTTATGGCAGCGGAGACCGAGTTACATACTTTTTTGTTTAGTCTACTCGGCGCTTCTTTTATATTCTTCTTTCGCTAAATGATTGGGTTTCTCTCCCTCTGTTCACAGGCATGAATTCCCCTGATGTTTGTTCCCTACTTCTTTTTTTTTTTTTTTTTTTCCCTCTTTACTTTACGTCCTCCTGTTTTGGCATTATTTCTTTTCTTGGGTTTCTTTTCTCTGCTGGCTGGTTTTCATATTCGGGCGAGCGAGGCGTTCTTTGGAGGATTTGAACTTTTTCTTTATTTTTTTTCTTCTTTCCCGCGGAGGTTGAGGGGTTGGCGAGCTGCCCTGGCGCCAGGGAGGGCTGTCGAGACGGAATGGTAGATATCAGTTAGTAAAATGTTGAATGGGCTGCATAGAAACATAACAACCTTGTGTGACGAGGTCAATATCAAATTTCTTGGCGTTCCAGCACCAGAACTAGTAAATGCGGCCCCATCATACAATGGTTTTTCGATTCATCTAAGTGTCTGTGTGTCTCAAAGGTATCGTCATTAGCAAACACCTCTTTTTCCCACAACCCCTAAACGCCGCCGGAAAATGCCCTGCCTAAAAGTCACAATGGTTCTAAGGTACAAATGTGTTGTTTTTCTTCGTCTTCCTGGCTCCCTGCCTTCTCTCTCGTGTACTGTGTGTGTGTGCGCATGTCGCGCTCCATCGCATCGAACCTAAAAGACGTCATCGACCTCCATCTTTACGGAGATCTCAACCTTCACCTCAGGAGCCGGTCTTGCCTGCTCCTTCTCATCCTCAATGAACACCCCCATGCCCGAGAAGGCCTCAAACATGACGCGAGAGAGGTATTCCTCCACGGCATACCCACCAACCCTATACTCGTTATCCGAGCGCGCATTGTCCAGCCACTCGTTATGATACTCGTTCGGATCAGCAAGCGCATACCTCGAGGGCGTAAGATCGAGGCCTCCAAAGGGATCGTAGGGCAGATTATCATCGACGCGCTTCTTATCCTTGAGTCCGCGAATCGACAAGTTCGCCGCATCGTACGAAATCTGCTGCTGCTGCTTGGCCTGACCTCTCCGCTTCAACATGATCCTGTTCATAGTCTCGGCAGCGCGGCCTTCTTCTCCCCTGGCAAGACCGTTGAGCATCTCCTCCTTGAGCTTCACCTCGCGCTTCCGCTCCTCCTCGGCCTCCCTCAGGGCCTCGAGGCGTCGCTGCTTGGCGGCCTGCTCTTCGGCTTGCATGCGTTTCTTGGAAAGCTCGTCGGCTTCGCCGCGGCGCTTCTTATTCGCTTCGATCTCGGCCTTGTGCGCGGCTTCCCACTCCATCAGCTCCTTCTCGGCCTCTCTCCGCTTCTCTTCCGTGCCGTTGACGAGCGCATCCGTGAGATCTTCTACCCTCTCGAGGTAATTGTTGTAATCCTCCAGCGTCTCAAAGTCATCCTCTACCTTGTTGAACACGGCGACTACCCTCTTCCGGATATCGCACTCGCGCTCGACCGACAGGTCGTTGAACCAAGGCGTGCGGAACCCGCGCTTACGTAGCGTCTTGTAGCACCCGGCGTAGGGGCATTGGTTGGGGCCTTCGCGGAAGATTCGGTTCACGCAGTTCGTGCACATGGGGTGGTAGCAGTCCGGGTTGATGAGGAACTCGAGGTCGCGGTTGAGGTAGCGCGAGGTCTTGCACACGGGGCAGATGTCTTCGGCGGGGTTGTCGCCGGAGATGCTAGGGAGGGCCCCCGCGCGACCGACGGAGGTGGAGGCTTTACGGGACATGGAGGATGATGTGGAGGGTTCGATTTTGGTTTGTGATTTTGAGTAAGAGGTGGTGGGTGAAGGAGAGTGGCGACAGGGAAAGTGGACTTCGTCCCCGGCTGCGAAATTGCTGTCGGAGATTTAGAGAATCGGCAACATTTGGAAGATTATGTTGCCTATGCGGGTTTGGAGAGAGCCGATGTCAGAGTTGGAGCATTGTTTGTGATGCTGTGGGGAGCTGCATTAGGAAATACCTGCTAAGGGTCAAGGTTGTGAAATATGCAGGAGCAAAAGCACTTGGCGAGGCTGACAGGTGGCACAGGCCAGCCAAGAAGGCTGGGGCAACAGTGACGTGCGCCGCGCTAAGAATTCAGACTTGTGCTATTGATGCCTGCAGTGCAGTAAACTACATTGCAGCCTAGTCGCTAACTGGCGGACGATATTCGATGTTCGGGGACCGCCTGGCTAAGTAACCTGGTCACTAAATACCTTAGCACATGAGTGGGTGTCGTCTTAAATATAGCGAATGACAAATTAACCGACCTTAATTGATCCTTCGAGATGATCCAAGTAAATTTTAATGGCATTGGTGTTTGTAGAAATAGCCTTCCGACAGGATGGATATTGTCTTCTTGTTGGTACTGGAGAGGCTCGGGCTCATTAATTTGCCCTCGACGTCAGTGCCATTTTTAGAAGCGGGGCGAACTTGACCCCACCTAAGCCAGCATTTCTCAGCCTTGGAATCTTCGACCACCTTCGAAGCTCACATTCACCACTTCAAACCATTCCAGCAGCCCTGAATCAAGTCAACGAAGAGTAAAAATGGCAGACAAAGGTATGTATTTATGTACTCAGATTGCATTCCGAATGCCGAATATAGCTCGAAAACACAAATGCAAGGAACCTCCCCGACCTAGCTCATTCTAACTAACCATTTTGCCCCTCCATCCAGAGCTCACACCTGAGCAAGAAGCCGCCGCCCGTGCGAAGGAAGCTGAAGAACAGGCCGCCCTCCCCTACAAATGGACGCAAACCATCGGCGATGTAGACGTCTTCATCACCATCCCCGGCAACTTCAAGGGCAGGGACCTTAACGTCGACATCAAGAAGACGAAGCTCGTAGCTGGCATCAAGGGCCAGGACCCCGTCATCAGCGTTAGTACTTGCCCTGCTGCTACCTGCTGCCCCTCTCCCTTGTAGAGATATGGCTCTACTGAACCACGTAGGTTTAGCCATGAAACTTATCCTAACCCTTTTTCCCTGCAGGGCGACCTCCCCCACGCCGTCATCGTCGACGACTCAACCTGGACCCTCACCACAAACGCCGACGGCACCAAAACCCTCGAGATCCACCTCGACAAGGTCAACAAGATGGAGTGGTGGGCCCACGTCATCACAACGGCCCCCAAGATCGACGTGACCAAGATCACCCCGGACGATTCCAAGCTGTCGGACCTCGACGGCGAGACGCGCGCCATGGTCGAGAAGATGATGTATGATCAGAGGCAGAAGGAGCAAGGGCTACCGACGTCGGATGAGCAGAAGAAGATGGATATTTTGAAGAAGTTCCAGGAACAGCACCCCGAGATGGACTTTAGCAAGGCGAAGATTAACTAAAAACTTGAGGCGGGATGCTTGGGAGGGCGATGAGTGCGGGTAATTAAGTGTGGATTACCATCGAGGTTGTATGTTGTACTGGTCTGCGGACATCACCATGAAGCAAACTCGTGGAGTATGAGGCAACGAAGTAATGATGACAGTGAACAAAATGTATCTGAATCATGTTTAGGGTATCTACATGAGATCTGCAAGCTGCGCCCAAGTGCACAAAATGTAAAGGACGGATTAAATCGCCGAAACCACGAAGAAAAAAAGCCAAGGGTTGTGGCGTCAGAGAGTCCTTCATTCAATCTTGGAACTGCTAGTAATGCGGAGGCAGATTGAGGCTGCAACCCATCAATTGTCAGATATTGAAGCGTTCCGGTGCTGACGCAGACCTATCCCTGGTCTCACCATCCATCGGACACGAGAGAGAATCGCTATTTAGAATTAGTAGATCATGATGGTTACGAGCGCAGACGATGGACCAGACAAGAACCAGGACAAGGCTAGTAAGCAGTCGGTGGGTCTTTTTACAAGGTGTTTCTCTTTTTTACAAGACGGTATCTCGGGACAGGAACAGCAAGAACATCGCTCTCCATTGTGGTGGGCCAAAGAAAACCCGACTACATTGAGCATAATATTCTCTAACCTAGTCCTTCGACAACCGGGCTGCCCTAAACCGGCTCATCCGCCGCGGGAGTTCACCACCGTCTTCGATGGGCTCGATGGCATTCTGTTCCTCCTTGAGGAAGCCACCCTGCTTCTCGATCATCCTCCTGCGTCTGCGATGGTATTCGTCTGCAATCTCTCGCTGAGTGATTGCCTCGTCGAATTCGTCCATGTCCGCTGGCTGGGATTCTTCTCGGCGGGTAGGAGTGTCGGACCACGCGAGAGGTGTCATGATGGTTTCTTCTTGTTCTGGTTCCGGCCCTTCTGGTTTCTCAGGGGCTTCTTCCTTCTTGGGTTTCGAGGCAGCGGTCCTCATTTGCTGGAACCGCGAGGCCTTGCGTGGGCGCTCGCGCTTAGTTTCGCTCGGTGAGGGACCAGTTTGCTCGATGATGAAATCGCTAACAGGGTTTTCAACGGGAGCCTTGGGTTCCGGCTTGAGCTTCTCTTCCTTGGTTGGCCGGGCATCCTCGGTGGCGATATCAAGTTCTTCGGCAAAGCGAACGCTCTTCTTTTTTCCAAGGCGATTATCGGACTTGAGAATACCACCATTGGGCCGTTCGTTAGATGATGGTGATTTGCTAACAGAAGGGGGCTCTTTGGAGGCTTCAAGTTCTGTCCGCCTGACAACAATCTTGCCGATCCCCTCTTTGGAGTCATCATCCTCGTCTTCAACTTCAGTCTCCTGCACAAGCTGGCGCGTGAAGCGAGACTGAACACCTAGACGCTGTTCAAGATCAAGCATTCGTGCCTGGTACTTCGAGCTAACAACTCGGCGGGTGGTTCTGCCATACTTATCCTCTGTCTCCTCTTCTTCGTCTTCATCTTCGTCGTCGTCGTCATCTTCTTCGTCCGAGTAGCTGTCATTGAATGAGTCGTCATCATCAAACTCTTCATAGCGGAGGTCGGTCATGATGGCAACTACTTCACCCATGCTACCGTTCGTCTGACTCATGCTGTAATCTAACATTTGTCGCCGGAGGGCGGCGTCCTCGGCGGACTCGTCGCTGGGTATTACCGGAGCCTCCTTGCTGATCTCTTCCTGCTCACGGGCCTTATCCATAATTTTCTGGACCCGCTGTGCTGCCCGAGACATTTCTAGCTCCTTAGGCTCGATTGGTTCGATGTCGGAGACAACTTCCTTCGAGCGAACCGGTAGGGTAGCCGCAGCGTGTTGTGTGTTTCGGGGGGTGGGCGCTTTAGATGATGTGGATGTAGACGGACGATCCTTGGGTTTATCCAGTTCGTTCGCCTTCTCCGGAGAAGGCTGCTGCTCCGCAGAGACTTGCGGACCGGTGGGCTCAGAGGGCCCATCAGTCGCCGTCTCTTTCGAGGCCGACGAGCCACTCAGCCCAGCCTTTTGCAGAATTTCCTCTACCTGGGGCGCTTTGCTACCCGGCGTCCAAAGCTCGTGGGAAATCACATTATCATCCTCATCGAGCCTCTCGAAAATCTCCGTAATCGGCAATCCGTTCTCATCCGTCGCCCCGGGGTCGCTGACAACATTCGCCGCCTCCAGCTTCCTCTCCGCCTCTTCCACCTGCCTCTCCAGCGTCTTGATGTTCTTGGCGACGTACTCGATCCGGCGATCCAGAATGTTCGCCACCTGCTCCGCTGAGCGCGTCTTCGATGTAGGTCCCTGACCAAACATCTCGTCCATCTCCTTCTTGTTGACGAGCTCGCCTTCGAAGCCGCTTCGTATCCGCGCGAGGTCGGCCGCCTCCTTCGTCTTGGACACGGCGAGCACCTCCTCCTTCAGGGCCTCGTACTCGGCGTCCCATTTTCGCCAGTGTTCAAGGGCTGTTTTCAGCCTGTTTACGTTGGCCTCGAGCTGACGGATGTGCCGCTCGAGGTCGAGGAAACTGTCCATGACCGAAGCCATGTTGGAATCAGGGAGGGGAAGAAGAAAGAAGAGAAGAGAAAATTGTGGTGTCTGCAGGGATAAAATTCCGCGTCCGTGCGAACTGTTTTCAATACCTTTGTAGTAACCTCGAGAGAATACAAAGTATTGGCCGGTAAATTATCGGCTCACAGTGTCATTAGACATTCCGTTTTTGGCAGGGAGGCGTGTGCCATTTTCGGGAACCAGCCAAATACCTTCAAGCAACAATGAACTCTCCAATTACTGAGGTAGGAATGGTTCCCTTGAGAAGAACACCTAACGACACGACAGGAAGATTTAATTACAAAGTATTTTAAGTATTTTAGAGTGTTTCTGTACCGCAGCTCCATTGGCAAAGGAAACGAAGGGGAAGTAAAAAAGAAAAAGGAAGAGATAAAAAGAGATATAAAATTAAAAAGAAGAAGAAAAAGAAAAGAGGGAGCAAAAGATCAATGGATGGCCATTTTCGCTGCGGTTGGGTCCGTCCGCTCCCCCCCGCGCCGTACATTTTTGCACACCGTCCGCGGCTTATACTGAATCGGGCGCCGACAGCAGTCACTGCCGCGCTCATGAAAAATACCTCTAGCCACCAAGTCCCTCGAGAGGAATCCGTGTCCGTGATGTGCCAAGATATCCTCCAGGATGGCGGGAAGGTCGGATCATGGACTTTCTCCAACTTATCTCAACACGTCAATGTTAGGCAGAATTCAGCGTGACGAAACATTCTCCCTTGAAAATCATTGAACAAGGAGCCATTCTGAATCAAGGAGAGATCTGGCATCAAGCCGCTCTTCTGGCAAAACTCTTAGCATTGACTCCAAGAATGCCAGGAATTTTCGCCTCTCAGGACTCCCAGGCTGAAAGCTTTTGCAAAACCCGTCTAATGTACAAGGTGGGAACGGGCTTGGATTCAATGGTCGACCTGAATGGATGGCACTGAAGTTAGCGTCACGGAACATGGGGAGTTAGTGTCGATGTAATGGACATACCTTCCGAATCAAAATATTTTGACGCGAGGCGAGAGCGATGTATCAAGTCTTTCGGTACGGGTCCTAACACTGCCGATATCTGTGCAAGATGCGCCTCGGCGGTATACGGGGCATCTGGCGTTCGCCGGCCGTCAAAGAGAAGCTGGCCTTCCGCGAGTTCCCATATCTAGAGTAGAATAGTTAGCACATACTACAGGACGTGAAGGCATCATTCGTAGCAATCGATAGATTCTTGGGCACCTACAATTAGTCCTAGGTTCCAAATATCAACCTTATAGTCCCATTGAGCCCCGAGTATGACTTCTGGGGCGCGGAGTTTCTCTGGCTGGATCCACTCAGTCAAGTGTTTGTCATGCCAACTCGCTAACGTTGTCTTTAGTGTGTTTCTCTCATGTGGAATATAAAATCATCTAAAAGGAAGAGAGTGGATACCTGTGCCGAAGTCACACAGCTTCACACCGAGGTTTTGAGCTTGCGTTAAGTCCTCTTCCGCAGAGGTTATTTGCTCAGATTTCATATAGAAATCGTTTGGTGGGGCACAGGGTGCGTTAATGGGCTTGAACACTTCAGACGGGGCTTTCTCAAACATTTCGTCTAGTTCTGGTGTCTCTAGTAGGACATTCTGTGGCTTGATATCTGCATAGTTCAGTACTTAAGTCTTCTCTGAAAATCTCTTGCTGGTATGGTTACAAACCTGTATGGATAACTTGGCAGGTATCGTGTAGGAAGGTGAGCGCGAGAAGAAGCTGTTTCGTTATTCTCTTCAGGAGAGGATGTGGAATCCTGTATCCCGGAAAGAGACGGCGGTAGTGTGACATATCCGGTCCCATAGCCTTGAAGACCAGACAGGCGTGGGTTCCATTAGGTCCTTGTATCCTGAACTGGTCAAGGAGGCGAGGGATATGGGTTGGCCCATAGGACCTAGACTTGAGGGTTTTGGTGCATTCGTTGATATGTGTCAAAATCTCAAGCTCAAAGATATCTTTGGATGCCCCGAAACAGTCGGCTGTGAGGATTTTGAGGGCAACATGTTTGTTTTCTCTACTTGGTTGTCAGCACTAGATCAGGATTTTTAAGGACATATATGCTAGTGCTAACTTTATGTCATGAGCTAACCAGACAGTGGAATACTGGCCATATCCAAGCTTGCTGACAATGAGATATCTATTCTTAAGTACATCCTGCAAACGGACAGGGTGATAGCCGCCGGGACAGTAGCGCGTAATATTTTCCTCAGAAAATGATAAGGTGTTGTTTGGGGCGACTCTAGACATGCTGCCCTGTCCAAACATCGCGTGAACGCGCCGTGGACGAGCTTTAAGGATTCCCGGCAACCGGGACGTCATTTTGGCCGAGAACATTTCCAAAATTGTCTGAGAGTTGGATAAGCAATAGAATGCCATCCATCATCTCCTTACGACGGCGGTCGCTAACACCCTGCCCCCGAATCGACGCGATGCCGCCCCGTCACCGGATCTGAATCCCAGCTAGTTGGAGCTTGAGCTTCTAATGTATTCTACCATTGAGGTAGCTGTTGACATAGCAAGTTCTGAGTTCGCCAAGGAGTATTCCCCTTCTTTGATACGGTCACGATGTCTGTCTGTACTTAGCTGAAGTTGCTCGCCCTCACCGTCGACATTTTGATCTTCCGTGTAAGTAAGTGGCTGAGTTAGGCGAGCTATCCTGGCTTCATATATCCTGAGGTGGCTGTCTCGGATCTGCACTACATACAGCGCATCTTGTGCGAAGAACCAAGTTTCCAAGATAGGTGGGGCTTTAGCTGCGGCGGTCACATATCGACTGCAGTTCAATCGCTGACCGTAGCATTGGCTTCGGTGATATGTAGAGAAAGGGGTAAGAAAAGCGAAACTTCACGTCTGTAAAACAGGTTCCAACTTCCAACATATTTCCTGGTAAATTATCGGCTGATAGATTACTAAGAGCGGAACCGTGCCCGGTGCCTCACTACCTCCGTGTTGAGCGGCCCGAAAATCCCATCCGGGGCAGGCAAACAAGCAGGTACTTGTACATGCAAAGGTACTTGACGAAGGAAAGGGAACCTCAGCCACCCGGTGCTTCGTCTTTCCGCACCTCGAGTTACTTTGATCCAACTTCAAGGGTTCCCGCGCTTACTCTTGGATTCATATTCAAAACTAGTCAACATCACACATCTCTCGCATCCTCTCTGCCTGTCAGCCCCGAGAGATTTACGCAAGAGCAGTCATCTGATCAAATGACCCTGGACAGTCCAGCCTACGATTCCGCCTTTTCATCCTGTACAGCTTATCACTTTGAGCTAGTTTGATCCTTAATCTTCTCCCATGCATGTAGAACCTCCCCAAATTGCCGGGATATCAAGATGTTCCACCAGTTGAGATACGTCCTGAGCACACCAACCCCACGCATCCGATACCAGGCTCGGGGAAACAACAGAAACATGGCTCACCTACCCCTACACGTTTCCCAATGATATACGCAAGCAATGTAACTTCGGAAGCGGGATACGGACAGGAAGTGCTCGGCATATAGGCAACTCGAGATGTGGTATTGATGTCTAGAATAGCGTGTCTCCTCCGTCCACCTAAAAATATATCCAAACGAAGTTTCCAAGTAACGTATGTGTTTGCTCCCGGAGTACCCGACCAAGATAGTTTCCCGTCCCTATCTCCCTTCGGGTCCACCGTTTCTAGAGCCTGGACTTTATTCCTGGTGTGCACGATCGAGCGAGATACAAGGCCTCGGGAAGTGGCTGTGGTATATTGAGAATGTTTGGGGCCCCGCAAAAGGCTGTAACCAACAAATGAAAAGGTCATGATGCCATGAAAAAAAAAATATAAAAGACGAAAAAAAAAGAAGAAGGTAAAGTTTTCAAAAATGGACATGAAGCGAAAATAGTAAGATAAAGATGCAAGGACAACCCCTCTTCTATTCGTGGAGGGTGGGGAGGGGTTATGTGTCGGTATAAATGACGGAAGACAAAAGAAGGGATCGAAAAAAGGCGAATATAATCGAAAAGAGGGAGAAGGAACGGGTGAGGGCATGGTGGGGATGTGGATGTATCCCGCGAGACATTTCTCTAGAAGACCCATGTGAATGACTCCTTGACCTCAAAGGTAGCGGTATGCCTAGCATTTAGCGGGTCAGTACAGGATCCGATGGACAGCCGCGGAAATAATCAGGAGATGGGGAATCACATACCGAATGTCTGCAGAAGAAGCGCCAATGAGGACCTTGAACGTTCCCTCCTCGGCGATCCAAGCGTTGAGAGAGGTATCGTAGTATCCAACAGCATGCTTGTCGAGACTGATTCGGATATGGCGGGTTTCTCCGGCAGGAAGAGCAACCTTTTCGAAGGCAACAAGTTCCTTCTCTGGTCGGGGAAGTCGGGACCTATCGTCGCTAACATAAACTTGGATAATCTCCGCGCCATCGACAGTGCCCGTGTTGCTAATTCCCATGATGATGTCGATAGTTCCATCTTCCGTGAGAACACGCTGCTTGAGTTCGGGTCGGCCGTACTCGAAAGTCGTGTACGAAAGACCGTGTCCGAAGGGAAAGAGTGGCTGGATCTTGACTCTCTCGTAGTGCCTGTAGCCGACGAAAATACCTTCACCATATACAACCTTGAGGTTCTCCCCAGGCCAGGTGTGATAAGCAGGTGTATCCTCGATCCGCTTAGGGAAAGTGCACTAAGACAAGTTAGTTAGCGAGGGCTGTGCGGATGGAAAGCAGCTGGAGGAGAAGAGAATGTAATCCTGTTCACTTACAGGAAGCTTTCCACTCGGATTCTGGATACCAAAGAGAACGTCAGCAAGAGCATTTCCTGCCTCCTGGCCTTGGTACCAGCCCTGGATAATGGCAGGGACTCTATCAGCCCAGGGCATGGTAACAGGAGTTCCAGACTGGTTAACTACGACAGTCCTGGGATTTGCAGCGACGACTGCTTCGATAAGTCGATCTTGAGTGCCATCAACAGGGAGATCCATAGTCTGCCTATCGTAACCTTCGGACTCCCACTCAGCGTCGAGACCGACAATGACGACAGCAACATCGGCGGCCTTTGCGGCATTAACGGCTTCTTGGATATAGTCGACCTGATCCTGTTCCTTGAATCCGACGCGGCAGCCGCCATACTTGTGAGTAATGCCGAACTGCTTCTGCTTAGAGATGGGTCGAAGTTCATTCGTCATCTCGACCTTGAGCTCAACAGGTCGACCAGCTTCCATATCCACCTCGACCAAGTAATCGATGGAGCCGTCAAACATAGCCTCACCCTCTTCAGTCCAATCCCAGAGATCCAGTTCGAGCTTTCCGTTAACATACAACCTGCCAGGCCCTACGCTCATGAAGCTGATTGTGTGCCGTCCAGTATTGGTGGGGGTAAGGTAGGTAGTGGCGATAGCAGACCACTCGGGGCCGACCTGGCTCAAAGGGGCGGAATCCCAGAGGAACAAGTCGGTGTTGGTCCTTCTTTGAGTTACAACGGGCTCGCCTTCAAATTTGTCGCCCCTATACCAGTCGATGTTCACACCAGGTTGACCTGACTTTTCAGTGCAGAAAGGAGAAGCGACGGGGAGCCACTTGTAGATGTGGCAGCCCTGTGCGAAGATGACTTCCTTCTTCGACGCCTTCTTGATGCAGTCGAGAGGAATGGTGTTGTAATAAGGGTTAAGGCTCGCGCTACCACCACCGCCAGCAATCGCTCGGTTGGCGTTGGGGCCAATAACAGCAACCTTGGTGGTGTTGGGGTTGATAGGCAATACGGCTCCTTGGTTCTTTAGAAGGGTCAGGCCCTCAGCCCCAGCAGTCCGAATGAGCCGTCTCGTCTCGGGTCGGTCATCTTCTCGTTCGGGTTCCTCGGGGGACATATCCTCTCCCTTGAGACGCTCGACCAAGGTAAGGACATTCTCTGCTGCACGGTCAATATCTTCTTGTGCCAGCCGGCCCCTTTTGAGGGCGTCAATGAGTTTCTCGAATCTCCACTTCGGCGAGTATGGGAATTCGATATCACATCCGGCCTTGAGGGACTCAGCCGTAGAATTCATGCCAGCCCAGTCGGAGATGACAGCACTGTAGAGGGTGTTAGTCAATCTTCTTCACATGAGGGATGATTAGCTCCTGAAACCTACCCATCATACCCCCACTCGCCGCGAAGGATATCCTTCAGAGTATGATCATTCATATCGGCGTGTACGCCGTTGACAAGGTTGTAGGAGGACATAATAGCCCACGGGTTCGCCTCTCGAACGGTAATCTCGAATGGGCGAAGGTAGATCTCGCGAAGGGGCCGTTCGGCTACAACCGAGTCGATGGTCAATCGGTGCGTCTCCTGCTCATTGGCGACGAAATCTGCATGGTGTTAGCGAGCCCGAGGAGAAGTGTGCAGCTCGGGTTGTGAGGACCCACGCTTAACAGTTGCCGAAACACCCTTCTCCTGAAGACCACGGACGTACTGAGCAGACAGCTTTCCAGTGAGAAGTGGATCTTCGGAAAAGGATTCAAAGTTGCGACCTCCTAGGGGGTGTCGGTGCATGCAGATAGTCGGGGCAAGGAGCATGTTGGCCGATCTTGCCTTCACCTCGTCAGCAAGGTGGTGGCCAACCTCTCGAAGCAGACCCTTATTCCAGGTCGCCGCGAGGGAGACGCCGCAGGGGAACAGAGCAGCCTGGTGTTCCAGGGTTAGCGTCGGGCGGCGGGCTAGAGAACTCTCAACTACAATTCATGCAAGTAATGAGGAAACTCACCTTAGTTCCGCCGACAAAGATGCCTCCACGCGCACCATTAGGACCATCAGTCGTCTTGATCGCCGGAATTTTCTTGTCCGGGATAGACTTGGTTCGCCAGAAATCGGCCGCGGTGAGGAGGGAGACCTATTTTTGAGGAAGTTAGTACGTAGGCATTACCTCGTGGCTGCAGAAGAGCAGAGGGAGTATATGACTTATACCTTCTCTTCGAGAGTCAACTGGGACAGCTTTTTCCTAGCGGAAAGTCTCGTATCCGTGAGAATTTGAGCCTTATGCTGGGGGCTACATGGTGGAGAGAACTCGGTATCTGGCGTCGAGTTGGCCATGTCGCTTTCCATCGGAGACAGGTTTGAGTCCGAGTCGTGATCCTCGTTACGGAAATCCAAGGAACCCATTTTTCCCCCTGTACCTTTCCGACTTTTTATTTGGTGAGAACGACGGAGGAAACTGAATGAGAGCCAGATGAGAAATCTGGGGTGTGAGGGGATCGAACTGGTTTCGGCAATGAAGCGAGTGTGCTCCGGGAAAGGCAGTGTAAGTCCGTCTCCGAGATACGTGATGTGGTGGTGTAATCGCCGTTGGGAATTCTGAGAATAATGATAGGACGAAGCGTACTTGAAGCTCTGCAAGACCCTTACGTAGAAGAGTTAAAAGATGTCAAAGCTTTGCAAGCTACCCGACAACTCTACCTTGTAGTTTTAAATATCACCCACCGAGAGTCGAAGACCTGAAACGATCACTGATCTGAGAAGTGCGGAAATGGACTAACGGGCTATATGGGAGAATAGATGTAATCTATATAAGCCTTAAACAAGTGCGGGAAGGACTGGACCATGAACAGATAGCAATCGGGCTACCGATATTTACCCGCAAATGAAGGGCCTGTAGCGTTGGGCCGGCCTTGGTTATCGACGGAGAGAGACAATTCGAAATGCAGGCAAACGGGAAGACGGTAGGGTTATGGATTGGGGGTGGCTGGCGGTGGTAGCGGTAGCAGCCGTTGTCGACTGAGAGGAGTCGAGAAAGAGAAGGTAGGCCGCAGCCTAGATAAGGGAGAAGCAGTCAAGCAAGAGAGTAGGTATGAGGTGGTACCTTTGAGCCCAGGGTAAGGTGGATGATTGGGGGCCTGGCCAACGTATGGAGGAACACAATGTACCCAGAAAAAGATGAGCCTGCGCATGCGGCACGATCGTGGACTTAAATACCAGACTAAGAAAGTACTAGGAGTTGTGAGTTGTGTACCAGTTGTGTATGAATAAAATCGACGTGGGTACACTACGTACATGTAGTACGAAAGGTATCCATCCAGTGGAAGTGGAATGGTGCCTTCCGGTAAACGGTTGTACTTCGTCCAGCCGTAATTGGAGGCCGTCTGGACGGTGGTCTTTCCGTCTCCTCGGCTGTATCCCACTTATACTTGTATATATGGACCAGGGATCGGGCAGGAGATTAAATAGAGCGTGTGTGGGAGGCATGGGGTACGAGGGCCATGTTCGTGGGTGTATAGATATACGCCAGGTCCTTGGCATAGCGGCAGGTCACGGACCATGGCCTTTGCAGACAATAGCTTTCATCTGGATGGGGCTTGCATTGCATCAGCGGCAGGTTGACTTGACGATGCAGGCATGTACGTGTAGACGCCGTATCGAGGTGCTGCGGTGGAGGCTGTTACGACGCTGTTGTTTGGGGGCACGCTGGTGCGACTTGAGGTTTGCGACTAGTGTAGAACTAGATGTTAATGAAAGGTTTGATGGGTTCCTTGATTTTCTTTTTTTCTCTTCATTTTTTTCTTCTTCTCCGCACAATATTCCTCTCCTTCTTTCTCTGCCTTCTAACCGAGAAAACTCGCCCGTATATTCGATAGAGCAGAGAAACTTCCCACTTAGGAGAAAAAAAAAAGGCCACATCACCGCTGGGTCTTTGGAAAGGAAGTTTGATGTACGGCGGATGATGTGCACTGGGAAGTGGAATTGGAGCGCCCGAGAATCGATGGTGCGGGCACGCAACCAGTTCCGATGCAGGGGCTGCAATTGACACTTGGACAAATATGTGGCGCGGAAAAGCGCCAAGGGCACTTGATCAGGGACGTACTCTATAGAACTGGAATGATGACACTTCTGGCCACGGAGCTTGAACGAACGAGGCGATAGAGGCGAGCAATTTTGTGGCTCACCGCAGGAGCAGAAGAAAAGAGTGTAGTGGAGGGTGCGGTGGAAACCTTAAATGAGGGCCTGCATGCGCAAATACTCGAAATCGCGGTAGGGATCAATTGAAGTTCAATGTTGCTTTGTGGCTATCGTCCCCATGCTCATACACCTGATCAGTCAGGGTCTTGTTATGCGGACGCCCCAAAAAGGGGGACCGGGAAAGCATCACTGTCTGTAAGGAGAAAGACGAGCATTGAGATGACAGCACGACGCGTTCGGTCCAAGACGCAATCAAACAGGAGGGAGGAATGCCGGAGAGCCGCCGAAGATGTGGTGAGTGGGGACACTCAACGTCGTTAGCTGTGTCACTTGACTTTTCTCCATTCAATGAGCGACTTGCTCAATCTGGGAAATAGCCATGTCGGTAGGAACGGTCCGTCTCGGCGGACGTCCGATGTTCCAGTTTCGTGCTTAGTCAGGCTCCATCTTCCATTCCGGGCAGGTCCGCGGTCCAAATACTGTCTTCGCTCATCGCCTGCCTGGTTTGTGATGTGTGGTGTGTAGTATGTGGTGTGTGCTTCGGTATAGAGGTAAGCAGGTATCAATTGATCAATGACAAGAAGTTTAACAGATTCAACATATTTTGGGGTTGCGAACTCGTCGGAAGAGATCTGAGAGGTCTGCGGCAGTCTGTGAGAGTCTGCAAGCGACGCATTGTGGGAGGCATTTCCTTTGATCAGCGTAGCTCATACTAAACTACGTCGCACCTGCTCCAATCGAGGAAGCTGTCAATCGATGTTACCTTTGACCCATCATCGGTGGGGGTAAGGCAGGACCTTAGTTGGGGGGACTGCAAGGCGGGAAGGATGTGGACGTGTATGGCTCATCAAAGTATAAGGTCGAGGTTCCTGGGAGAAGCTAGACTTTAGGGAAGGAAAGGCTGATTGATGCCTACCGAGCAGGGATGTCGCCCCGACTTCTCGAATGGAATATAACAACTATGGTGCTGCTATCTTGAGGAGGGTGGGAATACCCACGTGTTAACAATTAAATGATATTGAGTGCATCATAAGCCTGGTCCCACCTGTGTCGACTGCCCTTATACGGATTATCTGACAGAGCTGATCGCAGCAATGATCTCGAATGGCAAGGTATTACCTCCGGCATCGATTGGCGCTGTACATTACCGCCTCCCTGCATATGCCATCTCGATTTTTCTGGCATTCTCCGAAGAGCCCAGGAGCTGTTCTCAAGGACTTCGTGGTTTCTAAACTCTGTAACTCCAAGTCAAGGCAAGAGCCTCGGTTCCCCACAACTACAACTGATTGGTTCCGCCGATGGAGAATTGTTGGTAGGAACCAGAGAATGCGTGCAGACGGAGGACAGAACAAAAAAATGTCCGCGAAACACTACGACCTTAGTGCGGTCGACAAAACATGGATCTGGGCCCAAGAAGTTCATGAGGGGGAGTAACTGAAAAGCTTTGAAACCCATCCATCAATCTCGACAGGGCCCCGAGGTAGCATCCCCAGCCAAGAACAGACGACCCATGCGTAAATCTTCGTGCGAGCCTGCGTCGTGTCTCTCGGGTTGATATGGAATTGGAAAAATAAAAAAGAAGAGAAAAAGAAAGTCAAGAAATGGTTTGTGAGCCTTTGCTTTGTGCTCAATCGCAACAATGAAATTTTTTGTGGCGAATCAATACTTTGGCTCACCTGGCCGAATGCCGTTGGACCGAGACCCCGTTCAAGTACTCCTTGCTTTTTTTTATCGTATCAATGATTATCGTAGGGGACTACTTCATAGCTTCGAAGTGGACACAATAGAACACGAGGCAGTCAGCTGGCGCCATGTCAAACGGGCTTGTGTCTAAACTTATCGATCGGGCACGTTAGGATTTCGTCTTACTCTTCTAAAACTTTTCCTTTCGATGCAAAGGACGCGGCCCTTCCTTTTTCTACGGAGTAATCTGCTCTCCTCAAGGTTGGGATGCAGAACGGAAGAACGTGCTCAGAACATCGGCTGCCGCTGCGCGAGACACCACTTCTTGATACCTCAGGATATTGGGTACTTCCCGGTACTGAGATCACACACTGTTCTGCTGCATGCTTGGATTGGGGTTTCCATGTGGGGAGCATGGGTGGCAAGCCCTCCTTCCCCAGTTCCAGGGTGACCCTGGATCCACGGGGCGGGTATCCCACGAGGTACTTCCCCAGTAGATTGCCTCTCTAACGGCTCCCCGGGCCGCAGCTCCCCCTCTATTCCTGTTCCTGACCACCCAGGCACTTAATGTAGATGATATGGCAAGTCAAAATAAATATGTATACTTGATTCCGGACCAGCCGAGGACAACACAAGAATATCATTTATACACAGACGGATGGTGTAGCCGTACATTTTACGTTGTCGTCTGCCAGAGTCGCAAGAGTCTCCTGGTTCAATGTCGTAATTTAACACAAGAAGGGTCAAATGTCTTCTGGAACAATGCACAGTCCCGACAATGCCCAGAGATGGAATGACGACTCCGGGTTCTCGTAGGGGGTATATTGCTCTCTCAAGGAATGAGATAATGTCCGTCAGAAATGCTGCCATAATCTACCAAAGTTGGTTACGTTTTCCTCGCACCCATATCCCTGACCCTATGAAGAGAGCAATGGGATGGAAGGGCGCCGGCCGCGCTGTCATTCCAACTACTTCGTAGACGGTACCGAGGTAGTAACGGTACCACTTGACCATCGGGGAATCTCCGTTCCGTGGACAATAATTTTGCCGTCCGTTACTCCGCATAAGGAGACGGAAGATGCACAACGCACCAAGCACGAAAGCCCGTTTTCAATGTTCACTGCAACTGAGCTCTGTAATCGACGCTGTCCCCAAGTACACTTTAGTCGTCTAATAATGGCCCATAGACCACGTTGCCGAGCGCAATTATTCACTAGTAGCTAGGGGTATCTGCCTCCAAAGCATGGTAGGAGCCTAGGCGGAATATTCCGTGCTCTCACAGTCGACGGCGGGAGAGAAAAAGTAAGGCCGATAGGGACAGCAGGGCAGGGATCACAAGCGTGGATCAATCGTTCAGGGGACACGGACACCGGAGCAAAGGCCCCTGCTGGCGATGATTATCCGCATGACACAAACTATCCGAACCCAATGAAACTGCGGCTTGTCCATCTTGGAGTAAATCGAGTAAATCGAGCAATCCAAATTATCTGCGTGCCACATGCGAATTTGTTGCGAGCTTTATTTTC